ATGCACAATCGTACTTCTTTTGGCTCTCCAATTGAAACAACCATTAAAAAAAAAAAGTTATGCATTCCATTAATGCCCCCAATTGTCATAAGCACGAATAAAAACTTAATCTAGAGATAATAATACCATTGATCTTGAAACCTAAAAAGTAAAAATCTTGTATTCGAATCACTCAACTAGCAAGTTATAACCACAGCAAATCACTTTGGGGTCATTTGGATGCAGGTTTTGGGTGTGGGATTTGGGCACAATCCTACATAGTGTGGGATTTTAATTAAAATCACTCATTTGGAAAGGCTAAAAAAAATGAGAGATTTTAATCATGAGAGATTTCGAAAACCTACAAGTGTAGGATTTGAAAATAGCTGATGGGGATCAGCTATTTCAAAATCCCTCACTATTCTATTTTTTCTTCCAACTATTACCCCTTCCTACCCGCTTCTTATATCGTCACCACACCGCCGCCGACCTTCTTCCTCAACTCCTCCGGCCACAACTCTTCTTCCCCTAAGCCGACCGGCAAACCCAGAACCCAAGAAGATCCCCACTGCAATCAACACCCAGGGCGAATCCGAGTTTGACTACCCGGAATTCCGCTCCCCGGTCGCATGGCCCACCCCTTCCGACTCCCTCGCCGCGACGGCTTCCTCCTCGTCCGCGGTGGCCGACCCCGTCGTCGTTGACCACCGCGGCGCAGCGACTGCAGCAGCATCCTCGTCGTCGTCCGATCACCACCATTCCGATTCCCAAGCTGCGTCCCCTGTTGGATTTTGATTTTGTGACGGCCACAGCGGCAGAGGCATAAAAATGGCAACGAAGGAGAAGCATAAGAATGGCAGGGATTTTTTTGTAATTATGATTATCACTTACAAATACCTCATTCACATCCAAACAAGAAATTTTAATCAAATAACTCATTTAAATTTCCTGGTTTTTTAAACGAGAGATTTGGGACCAAATCCCTCATAAATCCCTCATATTAAAATCCTGCATCCAAATGACCCCTTTAATAATTTGTTGGTCGAATCCAAAGAGAATAAAACAGATCCGGTTCATTGTGGGTAAGCGGTTTCGGTCAGTTTTGTCGCGTAGCTGGCGGCTGTTTTGAACAGTCAAAGCCCGCCGTTCAACGACGAGGCAAAAGATGAACAAGAGATGATGCTCTGCTCTGCAGTATGCAGCAGATGCAGAGTACACATGAATGGAAAAAATGGCACAGCCGCAAGCTCGCTCCCTTCCTCATCAGGTTCATTGTAACTTTGCATTCTTACGTAACGGCCATGAATGAAATTGAATAGCAACAAAAGCTGGTCAAAATCTCTATAAAGCAAAGCCTTGCCGAGAAGATTGACCAATAGTTAGCTAGCTAGCTAGCTCGTTTGTTTTTTCGGTTTCTGCAGCAGGGGAATATCATGGGGCGGCTAATTATCTTAACAATTTAACTTCACTAATCCTCCCCATTTCTTAATTAATCACGGACGATCGAGCACCAACCCAACCCACCTCGGTTTGTCGTATTCGGTTTGTTTGTGTATATCTTTAATCCTTGTTGGGTTCGGATTTGAGGACCACTCTGAAGTTAAATTGCTTGTTTTGGTAAACAGTATGATGCAGAGTCCGGCTCTGTCCCCTCACAGAAAGCATCCAAAACTCTGCCCATAAGGAGGCAGGGCTTATACTTAATATTACTTTCTCCAATCATTTTTGAAACTGACTTCCGCCATGGTTTTAAGTTTAACTGGTCATGGTGGTTGGAGCTAGGCAGGGAACAGTCACATGCCGCCATGTGAAGCAAAAGCTAGTAGGTAGGGCACTCTGAGTTGAGATTGAGATTGAGAGAGACGACACAGAGCAGTCAAACCCGTATTTCCTTTGAGTGCAGATATAGAATATGGTTCAAGATAGAATTCATATGGACACTTGTGAGATTAATCATTTCCGTAATTACTTTGCTTTCGGATGCGCTTTTGGTCATACTTTTATCTATCTTTTGATTCTTTTCTGCTTTAAGGGAACAGTACACCATCGTTCCCCAGATGTATGTGTGGTTTAAGAGCAAACTATGTGTCGCCATTGTCAGAGTTTGTATGGCCAAATGGTTGTACTCTTGGTTCAATTTCCAGACCTCTTTATGTCCCCTGTCTGGTTATTTATACCCAACTTAATGATTATTTGTTATGAACTATGATTGAATAACTTTGTTCAGTCTATCTGAATTCCAGCATAATTGGATTATGAGTTCATGATGACCACCCAAAAAGGGAACTGCCCATATGGCATCATTTCCTGCTTCCATAGTTTTCAGCTTTTTGGTCTCATTTGGTTGTACCAGTAATCGACAGACAGGGGCAAGTTGATGCATATATCTATATAAGAAGATACAATGTCACTCATCAAAGGCTTATTAATTATAACCATACATAACGCCAGAGTTACGTTTCAGGCTTTAATTTGTCTTGGATGAATGCATGAATTAGCTAACCGGGAACATTGATATTGCAGCAATCATTGGTCGAATGGATGGTACATTTAATCAACCGATCGAGGTTTAAATACTAGCAGAGTAAGATGCAATTGCAGACCATGTGTTATTAGGATTTCTGCAGCGGACCAGCAGTTGCTTTTGTCACACTCAAGTGCGGTTCATCGTCCCAACAACAACCTTCAAAGACTTGATATTAAACAAACTCCTTTGTGTCGAACGCTAGCTGACATGTTGCTGCATCAAAGTTAGTTCCCAAGCTAGAGTTCATGAACCGAACGAAACCTTGAATGAAGTAAAATGCAATTGTACGCCTGACTTCTCTGCCATAAATTTTCTTTAACACTGATCAGTGGCGGCTGCCTGCTGCAGCATTAATTTGCAGACCAAGCACAGAAAGGCGACGTGAGACAGAATTAAGTATGAAACATGCATGCGAAATGGACCAAGTTGATTGAATGTGCCAAAATATGCACTTTTTCCTTATACCTTGTTTAAAGGTTGTAATTCTGTTCTGTCTGCTGATTTATGTGATTCCTTCATTCCCACTTGTGCAGATTGTTCTGCAGACAAAATCCCAGGAAATAAGTTGCTTTCCCTATCTCTGGTTGAATTAATGGAACTTGGAACTAATCATTCGTTCCCTTGCAAAGCACTCATATATATACCCAAAATCTGCCATTATCTCATAATAGATTAGTCGCTAGGTAATATTATGCTGTCTGTTATGTTGATTCGGTCTGCATATCTCTGGCAAAAGCCTGTTGCTCACCAAGGCCATGCAAGTAGCAATCTTCTAGTCTAGTTAACTGTTACTTGACTTCATTCTTATGTCCCTAATTGTTGCTAAACCCAAAATGACCTTATTCTGTTAGTCAAATCATCAAGGATTTTTATAAATCTGCAGACCAACTCGATCTCTTATGCAATATGCAAATATTGTCACAAAATCCAACATGATTTGGAGCCTACCAGAAGCTGTCTGCAGATTCTTGCGTAATGTTAGGATGGTTTGTCCAGTAATCCAATCATATCATCCGCAACAAATTGGGAAATCAATATATACCTTTGCTTTTCCTTGCATAGAGAGGGGCGCGGAGCAAGTCCCTAGCTAAGGGCATGACATGTCCTTAGGATGGGGGGCATCCCCTAAATTAATTACTATAATCTCCATTTCTGTATTCATCTTCAATTTGTCTGTTCATTAAATTGGGCATCTTTGTTTTCCTCCTATAACCAATTGGGGCTAGCTGGCTAGCTTCATCACTTGATCATCATATTCATTTTTTATTGATTGGTTGCCTTGTTTTGGCATTTGGGCAAGTGCCAATTTGACTAGATAGCCATAGTCAACCTTCTGTGAGAGTTCCATATAAAAGGTCATAAAATAAAATTTCAGATAGACTAAAATTACGCAGAGCATCTAACCTTTTTTTATAATGGTGACATCAATTAATTAATAATCTAACAAGATAAAAAGATACAAATAAGGCCAAGCAGGCAAACACCAGTCCGGGTCTCAACAATAAAGTTCCAATCTCAGCCAGCTGCAGAGGTCACAGAAAAAAAGAAGCGAAATGATGAAGCAGCAGCCCGGGAAAGCAACAAGAAACGAAATAAACCAAAGCAAAGCAAAGTCTCCCTCGAAACCTAATCCAGCTACAATTTTAGTACATTAAAAATACATTCATCATCAAAATGAACAGTTGAAAAAAATAAGATTAACATGTTCAATTTTGGAAGACATTCTCTATCTTTTCTCCATTAGAACAATATATTTCCGTCACATCAAACCCTAAACCATTTAGCTATATTGTTTACTAATTAACAACCAAAACTATTTTTGAAGTGTATCAAATCCTCTATGGGATCCTACTAACAGGCAAAGAAAACACATTACCGCCAGTTCTCTAATGTGAACGTAAACACTATTAACATAAGGGTAGCAAACTACTCCTGCAAAGATAACACACAACCTTTCAAGAATTCAAGGTCCCCGATTTTTCACTCCTGCTTCCAAGGTCCACCACTTTTCTCTCTTTTCTCTTGTGAGTTCCGCATAGCTAGGTTCTGGTCGTAACAAATGCTTCTCTAAAAAAGAGAACCAACCCTTAGAGAACAATAATTGCCAATGGAAATTGGTGAAATATCTAAAGCGACAAGTGCAAGTAGCACATACCTCTAAAGCTTTTTCTTCTCGACGGTCCGTCACCCGACAATTTGTCATCGAATTTTCTCTTGAAGATGAACACTTCATGATTGCCAATGAACCATAGTGCACACGTCACTACAATTTGGTATGTATGAATGATATCAGGTGTTCCCTTACTAATCAGCAACTCATTCACGCCTTCAAATGTTACATAGAATATGTAACACCCAGCAGACTCGGCAGTGACGTTCACAATCCTAAGCAAAGTTAACTTTTGCTTCTGCAAACATTATATACCCGACATTTGAGAGACCATATACTAAATAGAAACAAAAGAATATAATAATGTATTTAACATACAAGCTTCAAAAGAAAGAAAAATTCCTTCAGTCGATTATATTCACTAATTGCGTATTTCACGGACCCATTAACCATCCTGTCGAAACCCACAACAAAGCGATAATGGTATGGCTGAAAAATACCACCGAAAGTAAGATAGCTAGGATGACAATCAGCATCAAAACCCTGCAAATTCATCAACAAACAATGAATCAAGCGAAATGAAGGAATTAGAGGAACCTAAAACATGGTATTCTAGTGGCACTGTGGCAGAAGGGTGTCTCGACTCCTCTTAAGCGAGCGATAATGGCAAACACTCTGTCTCTATAGGAATCGTGACAGACAGCAGCACCAATGAGTGAATGTGCATGAATGTTTAGTTGTTAATTTGCTGGGGAAAATTGGAAAGAGCTTGGGTGTTGTAATGAACTTACTTACCCCGGTCAACCACTTCTTCCTCCGGTAGCGGATTACCCTTAGTTTCAGGTTCTGGTCGCCGCCAAAGTCGTCGTCGGGAGACAGATACATTGCATCGTCAGCCAATGGCACCAGCGTGAGCTCGTCAACTTGTCTGCAGCGTTGGCAGTAGGGACTGCCGTAACTCATCTTCTCTTTCTTGTCGTCGTCCTCCGCCTGCTGACGGGCCTTCTTCAACCTCCATTTCCGTATCCTGCTGTACCCCCGCTTTGATTCGGAAGGCATGGGAGAGTTAGGAGGCCTGGGAGGGTTGACGTATATGGCCTCCGCCGCATGCCCCTCTTCACCGCCACTCTGCGCTTCCTCCTCCTCCGTACGACTCTTTTCATCCGCACTCTCCTCTTCCTTCTTCTTTGGTGTCTCCTCTTCCTTCTTCTTTGGCGCCTTGTTCGTCGGTTTCCGTTTCGGATCATTTAAAACCCGGTGGACCAAAAACGCGTCTGAATCAACGGGATCCACCGGCGGTTTAGACCCCTCCAGCTTCTTCCTCCGTGGGGGTTGAGGGTACAAGACACCGTATTGCCTTCGCGGTTTTCGGCCTTTATCTATCTTGTGATACCTCTTCCATCTCGCTTTCGCGTTCGGACCCATGATTCGCCGACAGGATCAATTCGCCGTCGCCGATCCTTCTAGGGTTCCCGCATGTTGGAGCTACCAATACAATCAGAAAGTATCTCACAACGAAGTCGATCTACCAACTGTACTTGACGGCCCACAGCCCCAAGCCTGTTGCCCTGACGAGGGCCCATCTTCTAATAGCCCATACGTATATTTGTGTGGGCATGGCCCAACTTGGGATTTGAGAGAGAAGTCCAAATAACATTAATTGGTCCATCAGAGAAGCTCGGATTTCTCCTGGGCAGTCCTGGCTTCAGACTTGGCCCATCAGTGAGTCAAATATCCGGTTCGGATTGACAATCTGTGGCCTCTTTTGCGTCGCAGCTTCTTTCTTTTACTTGACCATTTGTAAAACCCTAATTCACGAATTAGTAAAGGAAAGAATTCAATCGACTCTATGGAAGTTCTCCTTTTTTTTACCCATTAAAATTTTAAGGCGATCTTATCTGTTGTTGATTTAATTTAAAGTTAGTCTCGGTTTCTAGAGTAGTGGATTCAGTGAAATATCAAAATGAACACCTTTTTATTGTTAGATACAACGATATTGTATAGATTGATCGTCTTACCTAAAAATAAATTTGATTTTGAAAACACATATGTATGAAGTTTAATGTAAAATGTAATATGATTTAATCGAGTAAATAATGCCTCAAGTTTCATGTATGGTTTGAAATTGTTTTGTATAAATAATATAATTCTCATCACAACAAATTGATACGACCATATATATGATGGTCAACAATGAACATAATGCATGAGTCTGATATGGCTTTCAACAAGGGTTGTTTGATGAGTTTCAAGTTTGCATAGTTAAACCACATCATATTTAAACACATGATATAGGAGATCAATAGAATTCGAACAAGATACTTCTTAAATAGAGGCTCTGTTAGTACGTTATGTATTTTTTTGTTGTATATAAAGACGGTATTATTTCTTTAATGTGAAACTCTTCTATGTCAAATATTAGTTAGTTTCTAAAACTAAATTTTTTAGTAGGGTCGGAAAACTGAATTGTTTACCTATTTTCTTACATTTAGAAACTGTGTCAATCATACATTTTCAAAAACATATGAAACATAAAATACATAATTATCTTGTCATCACTTTAGAAATGCTACGAGTAAGAAAGAAAGAGGGAAAGGATGGGTTGTGTTTTCGCTCCGAGAAAATAGGAGCGAGAGGGATCTACGTATATCGCAGCAGCTAGGGTTTTCGCCAGCCCATGCCGGCGGTGGGCACGCCGCTGGCCGGAGGAGGCTCTGGTACCTCCCCGTCTTCTGACGCCTTGACAGGACAGCGTAGGCCTCCAACGGAGTCGTCTTCGCCAAACCCTAAAGGCGATCGGGAAGCTCAACAGACCAAGAAGAAGGCAAAGCAAACAGTGTTGATGCCTCGTGATGATGATATGCAAGACGAGTCTAGTGATGAGACTGAGCACGAAAATAGGAATAATGGTACGGCAGCTGCACCGAAGCCCTCTGCGTGGACAACAGGAGGAGGGGCGGCGAGAAGGCTATTTAGCGACACTGTTCGCATGGGAGTGTGGTACGTAGCGGACTCGGACTCCGAGGACGTCGCGGAGACAATGAGGAGTGAGGGTCGTGATGAAGGGTTTACTGGAGAGGACGACCCAAAGTGCCCTGAGATCTATTTCACGAATGCTGAGGAAAGGATGTTCTGCAGAGAATGGCGATCCGCACTAGTGGTCAAAGCTTTGGGAAGGTCGGTCTCGTATACGCTAATGGCAAAACGCCTGTTTGGACTCTGGGCAAAAGCGGGAACAATCCAAGTTACCTCAGTGAAGAATGGGTATTTTCTCGTGAGATTTACGAGTGGGATTGATTACGAAAGGGCAGTAACGGGTGGTCCCTGGTTGGTGGGTGATAACTACCTAACGGTACACCCTTGGTCTGAGGATTTCAATCCTTATGAGCATGAGATTTCATCGACGTTGGTCTGGGCACGTTTGTTAGATCTCCCGATTCATTATTTTCACCAAGTTGCAGTGATGAAGATTGGGAGTCGTATTGGGAAGCCAATCCGAGTCGATCAAGCAACAAGTACTGGATCTAGGAGTGACTATGCGCGCGTTTGTGTTCAAGTTGACATTACGCGACCGTTACTGTCGCAGTTTACGATTAAAGGGAAGAAGTACTTTATACAGTACGAAGGCCTCGAGAAAATCTGTCTTAAGTGCGGCACCTATTCCGAACGAAATAGATGCGCCTGCCAGTGCCCACCGGAGACGAGTGAGCCAGAGGTGATGGTCGAAGAGGAAGCCCAGGTGTCAGAAGTCCCGGAAGCTTTGTATGGGGAGTGGATGATAGCGAAGAGAAGGTCGCGTACCCGGAAAGAGCCAACTGCTGGCAACGGGGTTTCGAGTAAGGGACGGGGAGTGGGTCACCATCGACCTAGCAATAAACCCGAAGGATCGCGTTTTACAGCCCTGGACACTGAGGAAGTAATGGAGACGGTGGAGACCCAAGATCAGGAAAGTAACACACAAACAACTAGCACACCGTTAGTCCATGTGGAAGGGAGCAAAGCCACGCCTAGAGAGATACCGAATAAGAAGAAGCAAGGAAATAAAGAGAAAGTCTCGAACGAGAGTACTCAGAGACGACCTGAAGCTGTGGACCGCACGGTGCAGGATATTTCCCGAGCGGGAGGAGGAAATCTGAGAGGGGCAACAGCGAAGCCGGCCGAACCAGTTGAAGAAAGTCCATGCCGAACCGCTGCGGTAGCAGGTCAGGGAGAAATGGCGGTGGGTGACATTTTTATGGCGGAGGCCGTGGATAAGGGTTTGGGCCCGGTTCTGGTGAGTAGGGGAACCGGACAACAACCCAAGCCCCCGGACCCTCCTCGTTTTCAAACAGGAGGAAAGGTGGCGACATTACCCGAGATGCTGTCTAGTGAGATATTGGCGGGGGACCTCAGAGATGGGGTGCTTCCTCCTTCTTCGTAACTGCGAACCCAGACGGGGGCCTACCTTTCCAGCAGTAATTATGTCCAGTATCTTTACATGGAATTGTAGGGGGGCAGGAAGCAGACGCTTCTTGCGCGTTTTTCGTGAATACCGGAGGAAGTACCGTCCGAGTATAGTGATTGTTATGGAGCCAAGAATAAGCGGGGATAGGGCAAGGAAAGTTGTCGAAGACCTGGGGTATGATAAGCAGCTTGTGGTTGATGCCCAGGGCTTTGCGGGAGGCATTTGGTTGGCATGGGACTCGGGACGGGCAACAGTAACTGAGGTTGATCGGTCATCGCAGTTTATCCACGCCAAGGTAACTACTAGCGAGAGGGAATGTTGGTTCCTTACCGCGATCTATGCAAATCCAGCTCTGGTTCAGCGCCGTGAACTGTGGCAAGCGCTACGGGGAATTGCGGAGGGTATGACGGATCCGTGGCTGCTAACAGGTGATTTTAACTCGATACTACAACCATCGGACAAGATGGGAGGAGCCCCGTTCGACGCAAGTCGCGCTCGTGAGTTTCAGGATTGTATCTTGGATGCGGGTCTCTTTGATTTGGGCTTCACAGGACCACCCTTTACATGGTTCAAAGCAGGGACGAGGGAGAGGTTGGATCGAAGCCTCGCCAACTCTGCATGGGCGAGTGCTTTTCCAGATACGACGGTAGCTCACCTGCCACGTGTCAAGAGTGACCATCGCCCTCTGCTTACTAAGCTCACTCCGATTTACCAGGCGATTGGTCCAAAACCCTTCAAATTTTTGGCGGCATGGTTAACACATGAGGGGTTTGGAGACATGGCCCTTAATGCGTGGAATCAAGGAACGGATTTGGTCTCCTCTATTGAGGCCTTTGCAGCCGAAGCAAAGCAATGGAATTCCGAAGTTTTTGGAAATATTATGAGAAGGAAAAGCTCCCTGCTGACAAAGATAGAACGATTGGAGCGGAGGTATGGGGGAGACTCCGAGAACGCAGCACTTAAAGAGACCCGGGAGGAGCTAGAAACTGTGCTATTACAAGAAGATCTCCTATGGTGCCAGAAATCAAGATTAGATTGGATCATTTCGGCTGATCGTAATACGAAGTATTTCCATGCAAGAGCAATCCAACGCAGGCGTCGAAATAGAGTGGTGGCCTTAAAGAATGCAGCAGGGGAATGGGTCGAAGATCAAGTGCAGCTCCTTGAGCTAGCCCGAGCTTTTTTCACTACTTTATATACTGATGATGGTGCGCCGACAAGTAGCCTGCCGGCTGCTTTTGACCCCATTCCTGCTCACTCAGTACAGAGGCTTGATGTAAACTTCACGGCGGAGGAGATTTGGCTTGCTGTCCGGGCGATGGGTCCGTTCAAAGCACCGGGCAAGGACGGTCTCAATCCGCTGTTTTATCAGCGGTGCTGGGATTTCGCAGGGCCGGCGGTAGTTGACTTTATCCAAAGTTGTTGGAGTGATCCGGAGCGGGTTAGAATGGTGAATGAGACGGTTGTAGCTCTTATCCCCAAAACCCAGAGACCGACTTTGATCGAACAGTTTCGGCCCATTAGCCTATGCAACGTGACTTACAAGATGATGACTAAATGTTTGGCAGAGAGGATCAAGCCTCTGATGCCTGAGCTCGTTCATGAGACTCAGACAAGCTTTGTCCCGGGACGTCATATAACTGACAATATATGTGTTTTGCAGGAAGTCATTCACTCGATGCGAGCTAAGCAGGGTCGGAAGGGGTGGATGGTCCTGAAGATTGATCTAGCCAAGGCATATGATCGAATTAAATGGAGTTTTGTTCGGGATACTTTGGAAGCAGTCGGAGTCCCTCAGAGTTTTACTAATTTTACCATGCAGTGCATAACCTCTGCTAGTATGCAGATCCAGTGGAATGGAGGACTTACAGAAGCTTTTTCCCCGACCAGAGGATTGCGACAAGGCTGCCCTTTATCCCCATACATTTTCACTCTCTGTATGGAACGATTAGGTCACTTGATCTCGGCTGCCGTGGACAGGGGAGAGTGGAAACCCATCAGGTTATCGTCACCGGGACCTAGTCTCTCCCATCTCTTTTTTGCTGACGATTTGATTCTCTTCAGTGAAGCTTCTTTAGAGCAGGTACAAGTGATTATGCAATGCTTCGAGGATTTCTCTGCAGCCTCGGGTCAGCAGATCAGCCGCCCAAAATCAAGAGTATTTTTTTCCAAGAATGTGAGAGCTTCAAATTCGGCAGCTATCAGTGCGGCCCTTGACATCCCTGTGACGCTGAATTTGGGGCGCTATTTGGGGGTGCCAGTGATACATGACAGGGTTGCTAAAGCCACGTATACCGACCTGATTGACCGGATTAACTCCAGGCTGGCGGGGTGGAAAGTCAAGTCCCTGTCCCTAGCTGGGCGAGTTACTCTAGCACAGTCGGTCCTATCATCACTCCCGGCTTATACGATGCAAACGTCGTTCCTCCCCGCGTCTGTCAGGGAGTATATCGACAAGAAAATTAGAGGATTTATCTGGGGGAGTTCGGAGCAGGGAAGAAAGATTCACCTTGTCGATTGGGATACGGTGTGCAGGCCCAAGGAGGAGGGGGGTTTGGGGTTGAGGAATGCGACCAGGATGAATGAAGCTTTTATGGTGAAGATAGCGTGGCGACTGCTGACTGAACAAGAGAGCCTCTGGGCACGGGTGGTTCGGGGAAAGTACCTGAAGCGAACAGCAGGAGGATGGAGACCGAGAGAAAAGGGTCGATTATCTAATCTATGGCGAGGCGTATTGCGAATCCTCCATCTTATCCCGGAAGGCTTAATGTGGAATATCCAGAGTGGTATGCAGGCGAGGTTTTGGACGGATAGATGGTTATTTGATGGGCCACCTCTAGTGCAGTTTGCGGCCAGTTTACCGAATGAAGCAAACCAGTTAACTGTGGCCGAGATGACTCTTAATGGCAGCTGGAACATGGATTTCATTCGGGCTTTTCTCCCTGAAGAGATAGCTCAACAAGTGCAGTTGCACCCGATCCCCCATTCGGCAGGAGATGATATCCCCGTTTGGCGATTCTCTAGCTCCGGGCGATTTACGTTGCATACAGCTTATGACCTTGTTCGTGGGGAGGATGAAGGGCCGCAACATCATCCTAAGTGGAGGAATATTTGGCGCATTGAAGGACCCCAGCGTACTCGCACGTTCTTCTGGTTAGTGTCTCATCAAAAACTTCTTACTAACTCAGAACGTGTGCGTCGTCACTTGGCGTCGTCGGCGGACTGTAAAATATGTGGGGGTGAGATGGAGACAGTGATACACGTGATAAGGGATTGCCCTTATGCGAGATTAGTTTGGTCTCATTTCCTTGATGGCGAGCCTGATGGTGCTTTTAATGAAGAAGATGTGGATAAATGGATAATGTACTATCTTGGAGGCAAGAGTAGTGTGGTCGAGGCTCCTATGTTTGCCATTCTGTGCTGGCAGCTCTGGAAGAACAGAAACACTATGGTGTTTGAAGGGAAGCTTGCGCCAGCAACCAATCTTGCTTACCAGGTGCGCACGCTAGTCGACCAATCCCGCCAAGCTTATATGTCGGCGAGCGTTGTTACGGGCAGTAGTGGGGAGAGCCGAAGTAGCATGATTAGCTGGGACCGGCCCCCCGCAGGCTGGGTTTGTTTAAATACGGATGGCTCTGCGGTTCTAGCTCAGAAGAGTACTGCTGCGGGTGGAGTGCTCAGGGGATGTGATGGGAGATTCATTAAGGCTTTCGCTGCTAATTTAGGTGGAGGTTCGATTACTCATGCAGAGTTGGGAGGCATAGCTCACGGTTTGCGTTTGGCCTGGGAGGAGGGAGCAAGGAAGGTGGTTTTACAGACGGACTCGACAACGGCGATCAACCTAATCAAGGATGCGAATGACCATAATCCACACTACACTGTGATAGCAGCTATCCGAGAGCTGCTGGCTAGAGATTGGGAGACGAAGCTTGAGCATGTTTTCCGCGAAGGAAACTATGTTGCGGATTATTTGGCGTCTGTTGGCCATTCTTTGCCTATAGGAGTCCACTTGATTGATGTCCCGAGTCCTGCCCTGAGGCATTGGTTGTATTTCGATACTATTGGGGTTCAGACCCAGAGAATTATCAGCAACTAAAGGGTTAGAGCGCCCCTAGCGCTCTGTTTCGCACCAAAAAAAAAAGAAATGCTACGAGTAATCAAATCTCCTCTTACATGTTGGTAGAACACGTTAATCACTTGAATTTAGAACATAAAACTCTGACGTGTTTAATCACCACCTATAGCTGAGTTGCTTGGACTCTTCAAATTTTGTGAAGGTAAAGAATTTACATGTTGTTGAGGAGGTTGTGCGATATTTTAGGCTCCATGTCGGGCTTCGTGTTCGATTTGTAGATCGAAGTAGTAATAGGGTATTTCATTTGGTGGCTAAAGCCTAAAAGGGCCCTCACATTGTACCTGTCTACTTGTCGTTCCTTTGATTTTACTTCCTGGTTGAATTCCAAGATTTACTGTTCTACATTTTCTAATCAATATATGATACCTTTTGTAAAAATAAAAAAAAAACCAACGACATGAAAATTTTTGACGGGCTACTCTGCTAGTTACTTGCTCGCCGAGGTTGAAACTAGCATATGATCACCAAGTCTGAATATGGTGATTACGTACGGTGCTGGTCAGAAAGTTAAACCATGTATAAAGCACTGCTACTATGTAACTGAATGAACATGAAACGTAAACTTGAATGAAATCAACATAGTTAAGATCGATGATGATCACGGCAACAGATCCAAGAAAGAAAGAAGAAAGGAAAAAAAGCCTACATCCCAACACATCTCTTGTCATGTCTGCACATGATCTGCGTATCTGTTTGCAGATGATTACACCAGACCAGCTACTCCTCTTTTAACCATTGGACACTAGATTGCAATCAATTAAAAGAAGAGAAAAAAGAGACGATGAGCCCTTCATTGCTACAACAAGTACAGTTTTGACTTATATAAATACAGATTAGATGGGAGGCCTCAATCAATCAATCAGAAGAGGGAATCTCTTGTTAAACATGATCATTTCATTTCCCTCTCTGCAGGCGCGGGGGAAAACACATGCAGTTAATGAATTTGTCCATCGTGTAGTCTAACAAACCTTAATCATACTGTCTCTCAATTACTCCCCACGTAGCAAGCAAGCAAGCGCCGCCTCTTTCATATATGCTACTGTGATTATCATTATCAGAGGAATGACGGTTGTTTGTACGTAGATACAGATTTTTGAAACAGGTAGAAGCACCACCACATTTCCATCACTGATTATGAAGGCTGGCAAATCTTGATCGAATCTGCACAAACCAGTACAACAACAACAACTGGGGTATGCATATGAATATGATTCTCCTCTGAAACGAAAATACCCTAAACTGCCCTCCCCCAGGATAATAAATTCACTTTATGCTGCTGCTAAAAGAGAAATAATATATCGAAAAGGATAAAGGGTTAAAACAAACAGAAAGAAAGAAAGAAAGAAAGAGGCCCATTTTTTACAGCTAGAGAAACACAAATGTTGGCTAGCAGCAAAACAAATAGTACGGGAACTACTGATCAGTCAGCCATTTATCGATGGAAAAAGGAAGCAAGTAATAAGTAGAAAAAAAAAGGTACAGACATAAACCTGGTGAGGGTGGTGGTGGCTGTCAGCAGCTGGACCAGCAACAGAAACAACTTAGCTAGGTTGCTCCAAACAAACCCTTCATCTGATCATCCACTCCAATCTAAACAAACCAAAAAATTAAAGGGACAGGAAAAGAGAGAGTCGTCTTAGATCCAGATTGCAGAAACTTTATATATACATATATCGGATTATTAATAAACAAAGTTAAAGATGTTAATTACCCCGCCCCAAATATATAATACTGCAGAGAAAGAGAGAGAGAGAGAGAGAGAGAGAGAGGCTTCACAAAACCCTAGTACTGAACAAATGATAACTAATTAGCTTTAATTTGTACATACCCAATTAAAACCACTATCGTGCAGGTTTTCCTCTTACCTTGAGCTGCTTTCGGTGGTGGGTGGACTGACTGACTGACTGTCTGATACAAGGAAGGAGCAAAGATTAATACTAGGGTGGTAAAAGGACAAGGGAATTTGTTTTGTAACGTTGTTAATTAATAATATTTAAGCCAGTGAATCGCCGCTGCAGCATCATCAAGATTCCCAAGTTTGGTCTTGTACTAAGATACCTTGCTACCTACCAGCTGCTATTCCTAAACAAGAAAACCCACCAAAAGAAAAGGAGAGAAGAGAAGGGCACTGTAAATGTGGGGGGAAAGCAGCATAAAAAAAAAAAAATAGTACGAGCTAGCTAGCTAGCTGGGGAAATGGTAGCAAGGGGCTTCCATTTGATTTGATTTGGTTTACTAATATGAATCATATATCTTAGACTGAACCAGGGACCTTGTGAATCTTGATGATGCTCCACCCGCAAACACTGGCTAGGTGCTGCAGCTGTAACCCTAACCCTAACCCCATCGCATCAAACAAGAGGAAGTAAAGGGGAAAAGAAGAGATCTTAGTCTTCCCACACAAGGATGGAGGATGGGAGAAGGGTAGGGTTTGGGTGATTGAGATTTGAGAGAGGAAGGAAGGAGTGTATTTTTTGTTTAGGTTGGGGAAAGGAAGTCGGGGGTATAAATACCCAAAAAGCCAACCACCCAATCTGCTCTCTCTCTCTCTCCTAAAACCAGATGGTAAGGTATTGGTGGAGGAGAAGAGATGGGCAGTGTGCTTGTTACTCTTAGTCTTACTTACTGTGAGTAATGAATGGAAAACAGAGAGAAGAAAAGGGGGAGTCTGGTTTGTGGGGTGAGAGAGAGGGATTTAATTATGTGTCAGTTACAGACAGATAGTGAAAGATTGGAGAGACCCACAACAGTTACACATCGTAATCCTAGGTGTTCACTCCACCAGTCCACCCCAATCTCCCTCCATCTCCAACTTCTCCCTCCCAACACGGCACCGGATTGGACCCAAGATTTCCACAAATAATTACCTCTTTCCTGGAACACACATTCTTATCATTATTGCTTCTACACATTGATGGTCCAATACAGACACAATTTGCCCTCTAACATCCATCCAATCTATACTATTGGGTCGTCTTTGTTATGGTTTTGCTATTCTTTGAATCCTATATGTTATTATTATTATTATAGGATTAATTAAATAACAAAACAAAAGTCATTCGTTTTACCGAAAAAAACAAAGCCTTGTGTGACCAAACTATCCTCATCACGTCCTCCAGGCCCCAGATAATGTTTTTCCCAGACTAAAAAAAAACCCCTCCTTCAGCACTCCATCCGGTCCAGGTCCACTCTTAGCACGTGATCATTAGTATTCCGCCATCATCACAGACTAATTATGTTTTGGTGTTGATCAACAGGATGTTAATATATATACTACACAAATAATGAAGAGCATATATATATATATAAGCTGAAAATACAAATTTTAAGTAATGGAGAAGGTACGTGGTCTGTCAGAGAAGGTTGAGCTATATATTTCTTGAGTTATAACTCTCTGTGACAAAAGAGCTTTTGCAGAGGGGAATATAACATAACGAGTAATCAACAAGATATATAGCTCATGGGGTTTATCTTTGAGGTATATACATAACTCGAATTATTAGGAGAAATTTATGTATAGATTTTAATCATTTCCTTGTGTCGCTGTCGTAATGTGATGTGAATACTGCATTGAAATTGAAGGGCCTCCTACTACCACCTTCCTCCCAATTACTGCAAGCTCCAATTCAATTGTGAGTTGCTACATTTGGAACTGGGGCCTGTAATTGGAAGGGTTAAATTAAATCCCTTTCTTTGTTTCTTTTTAGGGCGATTTGCTTGCAGCAGTAGTTTCGTCCACAGCAAGCATTTTCTTTTCGACACAGGGATTCAATTCAAGTATGGATTGGAGGATATTTATTTATGAGGAGGAAAAGGTCATCGATCAGTGGTAGTACTGAATACTGGTGGTGGTGGGATCATCATCATCATCATCATCATCATCAGTTCAATTGACAGAGGCCTTGCAGCAACCAACCTCTTCTGTTTCATTGGCGCTGTCTGTGGCTCTCCATTTTCATTTAACACGCTTCCGCTTGAATCCCCACTATGTATACCATTACCAACAGCTAGCGCGTAGACCGCAGCTACCTACCTCTCTTATTTTTTTATTTTACTATCCCTAGGGTTTCACCCCGGAATCCGGATTCTTTGTTTACTTAGCCAGCTTTGTTTTCTTTTTGGTTTAATCTTTGTTCAGTTTCAAACATAATAAATCCTCTTAACTAGGAAGATGAGTTTGAAGTTTGCATATGTTCTTCCTGTGTATCTAGTATCAACTGTATAAAATCTTTAATATTTAATTTAAATGTTTTGAGATTCGTATTATCTCAATAGTACGAGTTATTGGAAGACGTTCAACAATGGATTTTAAACCATTTTACTAACATGCCTCTAAAACGAAAGACACGCATATACGCTTGAAATTTGCATAAGAATCATTAAACCATGTGCTTACCAGTGAGGGTTATCAGGATTCAAACATAAGACATCTCGATCACAAAAAGTTCTGATATCATGTAAGAGCCAACTGATCCCAATAATTCGAGTATTGGGAGAGATTCAATAATAAATTTTATTCCATTATTTAAAAGAAATCCACCAACTCATCAGCAGTTTTTATGGTCGGTCGTAGTCATAGGTTCCACGCCAATGCCGATGAGATCTTAGAAATTAATAAGGTTGACACAATGTCCCGCTCAAATAATCAATATCCACGTAAATTCTTGGCCCAACGGCCGAATAAAAGCCGCTCTGTGCTGTGCGTGACCCACTGGATCGATCCAGTACAAAAACAAAAACACAGTTTCCATCGTTGAGGGCATAATCATCCCTGCTGTAGCTGTACCTGATCAGCCAAGTGGGATCGATGCGCGCGTCAAATCCACTCAAATCCGCATCATCATCACTTTCCGTATCAGGGGGATTCTGCATTTTCTTACTAAGCAATAGCAGTTCATATTATATCCTTAGACAAGTTCACCGCTTAACATGATCTCTAGCGCATTTGGGGTAGCAAACAGTGTGATCTGGTTCACCCAATTATATAATAATATATGTTTAAGGTCTAGACCAAGGGATTAGAGTAGAGATCAGAGCAAATACATGGTTAGACCAGATCACACCTGTATGGTTTGGTCCGATATTGTCCAGACCAGACATACCACATTGAGCAAAAAATCAAAGTTTGTTTGGACCATCACACCAAAATCAAACCAATAATCGAGAAAGCATAAAAACCTAAATTCCAACCCACATGCGTAATTTTGGTACTCGAAAACCAAGTTAATAACAAAGACACAATTTCAAAACAACCAAACTTTCACCGTAACTTCATAAGCATTAACATAATAATGTTTGGAGATGTTATCTCCCCTGCTCTCCAACAGAGTATGATTTGTGAATGAAGGAGAAGATGTGATACAGAGTTACAGACTACGGATCAAAATAAATCATTTTTTTTACGATTTTCGGTCCGAATCGAACTGTACGATCTGTTATGATTTATAAATTTTCAAACGATATTATCTATTTTCCCAACTCTATCTTATTTGCTTCTACGTATCACAAAACAAAAATTACTGCCTTATTTTGATATGAACTGTGAGTCGAGTTTATATTTCCCCCTCTCTATAAGAGTGAATTTGTTGTATGAACCATGGCCACTTGCTTTCTATAAGGATTGGTACCGTCCATCCGCAGAAAGGCAGTAATTTTGGACACAAACTCTTATTTGCATATACACGACAAGCAACTATAATGTTTTGGACCCATTAATATATATCATTCAAGTGTACACTCATCCATTTACCAAAATATGGACATTATAGTCCATGTATCGCAGAGATTTAAAAGGACTCACTCAATCGATTGCATTTGGCCGCATACGTTGTTGTCTATATATATAGCTGTCAATATCAAAATAAGTTCTTGCGTGATCTGCAAATATTCCTTGCAACAATGCTTACATGACATTTGATCTTTGATCATATCCAAGATTGTTATTTGGAGATGGTCTGTATAACATTTTCACTTCAGTCCATCGATCGATATATTCGTAAATCATGGAAAATTTCTTATTAGGTCCGATAGTTGAGGACTTGAGGCGATGGACGATTAACTCAATTACATGTTGGTTGAAATTCTTTATCTCCTACCAAAGCCCCTCTTGGGAAATTGATTTTGGGGATAGTTTGGTTGGATTAACATGTATAACCGATTTAAGTAAGCAGGTTTTTGCTGCAAAAAACTAGAGCTTGGGGAATTAATTATATACCATGATTAAGTCCCACGATTGATGGTGGCTAATCTAATTTGATTCGAAGTGTTCATGGAGATGGAGCAAATTAAAAATTCGCAGGAGGGAGTGGGACATCGATGAAGGGACGTTGATGTGTCAGAAATTTGTGTACGGAACACACAAAAGCAGAGAGAGAGGGAGAGTGCATGGAAACAAGGAGGAGTGGAGTGGGAGTGGAATTTTGGGCGGTTCCTTTTTCTTTCTTCTGCACGCAGTCAGAGTCAGAGACCCGCACACAATACCCGGTGAAGAATACACTTCCCCCTCTCCTCGTACGTCTCTATTAGTTAAGTTAAGAACGGTTGTAATATAAAATACACATCTTTAGTGTACCATTAATTTCAACCTTATTCCATTTATTAGCATGCCTTGTTTACATATGTGCATCATTATTCTTGCACAATACATTTTATTGGCTTCTCTTTTTTTTTTTTTAATTGTATTGATCTAGGGCACATTGTTTTTTAAATTGCATGCATCCAAGTCCAACGAATGTGTGCCATGTACAAACAAAATACTTAAATTTTGGAGATCCACCCATATGTATATTCATATGGTTTGGCATTACATAATTGCTTTCACATGGCTGATCAACCCCACCCTTTTTTTTTTATGAATGATCAACCCCTGGCTTCAAGTAAACTACTACACATCCATGCTTTTTATTGGAAACCCTGCCCGCGCGGCCGGCCAGGCTTCTACACCACTGCCCAAAGTATAACCGGCAGATGAAAAACGCAGACCACCACCATTTACCCAAATTCTTCTTGATTTCTCAACCCCATATATAAATTCGTGGTCCTTTTTTTCTTTTCTGACCGGCCTTCCGCATTATAAGGGAGAGCATGCAGCAGGAGTAACTACAGTGATAAATGCTCAATAGGCAGAGAAGTTGAAAAGATTTGTCAAAGGAGGTGAAAGTGAAGGATGGTGCACAAAATTGGGCTGCATATGATACTATTCAGTTCTCTGTGTAAGCAATCTCAGGTTGTCCCAAAATGGAAACCCCAATTGCTGAGAGAAAGACCACCATTCTCTGCTCCACTCTGCTCCTCGTCCTAGCTACCTACCTAGGTAATAGCTGAGAGCAGCTACACACATACATACATATGCATGCAGAGATAGTACTCATCACCTTAGCTAGTAGCTACTAATCAATTAGCTCCGACACTCCCACTCTGACTTTTCATTTCCTACACATTTACTACTACAACGACGCACGTTAGTCTCATTCACTAGGTGCTGCTAGGGCAACAATACAAGTAACATGCATATAATTTCAAATTTCGTAGAATTTCATCGTAAATAAAAAGAACTGTATACTAACCATATAGTTTATGTTTCTTTCTATATGAAAAAAAAATACTCATTTTCCGTCGCCTTCTGAGTTTGAATCATTCAAGCTGGCCATCTGTCCCAGTAAAGCGACATCGTTTCGAGACGCAGATAGAGGCCAACAACCATTATTACTTTTACCCAATGCAATACTTGCAAACGAACTGTGTACAACGAGCCAACCCCTGCCGTCACATAATCCACGCTATATTCTTATGATGTATGATTTTTGTGTGAAAATTCAACATTATTGATTTGGGATGGAAAGATGTGTGAGAATCAGAATCAGAATCACTCAAGTGCATGTGTGGACGTCTCCTATGCCTAGCTATATAGCTTACTTTTGTTCATAAGTGAGGGACTTCTTGACGCCAATAGAGAAGGGAGAAGAGCCAAAGAATTTTTGGGTAGTCGTGTTATAATTTCTAGCTGATGGCAATCAAAGCAGAAATTGAAATCACAAACATATAGAAAAACTCAATGGATCAATCATGGATATCTGAGAAGAAAATGAAGAAAAGGTTGATTGGAGCTTTCACTTCTGAAGTACGCAGAGCCTCTGGGTGGCGAACTGATGGCATGGCGGTGATCCACTTATTGGCAGCTAGCTGTGAGGTTATTGTTGATCTAGGTAAAAACTATGCCCTCTCTCACCCTTCCATTTCCGTCTTTTCCCCGTTTCTAATTATCCCGATTTTGTTATCGATATCCAGTGTGTATATAAGGTCCACCTCAGTATAATCACAAGTCAGTTATTGAGATCAACTGATTCTTCATATGTGTTGATGTAAAATCTATGAATTGTAAAACTATATGAGATATTAGCTAGTTTGATTGATTAAATTAACGATTAAGAGAATAGCATAAGTTATACTATAACAATTGTTATATTGACGTGATAAACTCATGTTTGTTTGGTTAATGTGATGCATGGCTAAAGGTAATTATATGACTAATTGAACCGATCCCACAAAATATCGGTATCAATAGTTGTAAGTTTATCAAAAATGAAGAAAGTCGAGCTTTTATGTTGTGCATGTACTCGGAGATCAGCATCTTTGCATCTCTTTCAATGCAACACACGATGATTTTTTTACAAGATTCATGTATTTGATCCTTGCAATCAAAACGATATGTTATTGAACTTTGTTCGTTGTTCCTTGTCCATAACTCTTGGATAGAGTTTCACAACAATTTTATGTCGACCTGTTCGTGTCCCTACAAGTTCACATTTACGTCAAATAATGTCATATGTTCATATATCAAATTACCATATGAGTTTTCTATCAACATATTACTCGAATATTCTGCATTGTAAAAGCTATCATTCCCTACGCACTAGGCGATTCGTGGCGAGCTCTGCTTTGTGTTCTAATTTTTTGTAATTTGATTTTGATTGAGGATCCATGTTCTAAAGCTGTCATACACACTCACTCCTCTATGATGTGATCATTGTTTGTGGAGATTGAGCTCAATCCCTATGATGTGGCTTCTTCTTCTATTTCCAAGTTCGTTTCTTGTTCAGACAAGAATTGTGCTGCAGTTACTCCATGCAATGCAACTCGGTGTTCGACGAACGACCAGTATTGTGGCTACGTAAAGAAGTATATGGATGGGGACACACCATTAAGAGTTTACGTGGTAAGAAATGACTCTACTGACTCGGTGAAATAATTGAGCTCAACATTATTTTATAAAACTGTCAGCACGTGCATCTCACAACTAATGACACAAGTTGTACAAAGTAAATAGCGTTTTGTATTTATTTAATTCATGACCAACATAACACAACAAAATTGGTAAGAAACGACTACTCCCTTGGTAAAAAAGAAACAAATGATGCAAATGTTTTTAGAGCATGAGAAAATATTTAATGTTGATGGTGCCATGGTGGTGTTGGTAATATAAAAGATACCGTGACGACCTCTTGATCACCATAGTTGTATTATTGTCTCATGTCAACTAGCTCATCAAACCAAATCAAACGCCCACCACAAGAATTCCTATACCAGAATATGCATGCAAATTAATACCACACTTGAGCAATTCCTCAAAACAAAGTTCCTGCATGCATAAAAATATAAATAAGAAATGAGTACATATTGTTATATAAATAAAATATAACTAAAATAAAATCTATAATTTTGATATCAAACTATTACGATTATCAAACAGAAAAGAAATTGACTAATTGCATATTAAATTTCTCAAAACATTACTTTTTTTTTGAAAAATATAAAATTTACTAATTGTCTACACTATTAATTAAGTATTAAGTAATTCTCTACTATTCAATTGGACTATATTCAACTCCAAACCTTATTCTCTAAAGATTCTCGACCAGTAAGTTTGGATAGAATAGAAGATGGATGAAAAAAATCAAGGGCAAATACAATTTATTAGCCAAACCTTTCATTTTAAACAAAATAATAGCCAAACCTTTTCAAAAACAATTTAATAGCCAAACCGTTAACTTTCCATCCGGTCAACCGTTAGTTGACTCTGACGTGGCAAATGAGTTGCTGAGTCAGATAATTTAATTTCAATTTTGATTAATTTTTCAACTCAAATAAAGAAATTAAAAAAAAAGGAAACCCCTCCTCCCCTCCCCGTACCCTTCCTCCACCCAGCAACCAAACCCCACGACGGACTCCGACACTTTTCATATACAAGCTCGCTCTGCGATATCTCTCGATCTTCCCTCTCCTCCTGCCAATCCCAAACACTGTCAGTAACAGCAGATCGGCGTCAGCATCGGCGTCTCCTCCCTTAATCCCGTCAACGCCCTGCACGGCGACATCGGCGCTATCTCCTCTTTCTTTACTGGTGGTTGTGGTTTGGTAGGGAATTAGCGGCGACGCCGGCGGTGAATGGTTTTCGCTTACATAAATGTTTTCCCCTGCTCTATGCCAAGCTCTTAAGGCTTCCTCTCCTTCCCCTATTTCCACCATCTTCTCTCGACCTCATCGATTTTACTATTGTCGGCGATGTCCCATCATTAACACTAGAGCCGGCTTGGTATTCATTACCAGCTGGCCGTATCCGGCCTCACAATTGCATCTCAGAACTTTTGCATCGCGCTTCAATCGAGTTCTCACTAGCTTGAGTTATTACGTATGGTATATTTTTGTTAATTAGGGATTTGAGGACGAATCTAAAAGCAAGATTGTGTGTTTGATTCGTCTGTATAAGGTTTTCAAATGAGAAGAAGAGGTCGACAGTTGGGGATTTTGTTGAAGGAGACCAAGAGTCATGAGAAGGATAAAGCATTTTCCAGCAACTGTTCAGGTATGGGAAGGTGGACAAGGATTTGGGTGGTGGGGGAGTTTCAGGGAGAAGATGAGGGAGAAGATGAACAGTACAAAAAAGATATTAGATTTGTTTTTTTGTAATTTAATTTCAATTTTCAAAAATAAAAATTGTTTTGTAAAATAATAAAATATCTATGTGGCAATGTCAAACATTTGACTTTGTGTCACATCATAAAAAACCATCCATCTCACTTAACACTTTGCCACGTCAGAGTCAACTAACGGTTGACCGGATGGAAAGTTAACGGTTTGGCTATTAAATTATTTTCTAAAAGGTTTGGTTATTATTATGTTTAAGAGTTAAAGGTTTGGCTAATAAACTGTATTTACCCAAAAATCAAATAGTGGTTTGAAAAAGTCACATGCTACAAGATAAACGGAAGTTTTCAGTATATCAAAATTCAACGAAAAAAAAATTTGACGTAACCCGTCGTTTGGGACTTTTTTAGGTTGGGCTTATAGATGGATCCATCATCCATTAACGTGAGTCATGGCTTTTAGGTTCGGCATCTGGTGCTATGATTGGGCTAAAATTGTAGCAAGCCACTACTTGGGCCCAATTTGACGATAGCAATGTTGGTCGGAGCAAATTTGACCCGAAGGCTGGAAGCAACCCGATCCATGGCATATGCAACACCGGGCTCCGCGTCTCTGTTTTTGTTTTCCATAATCGTCGTCAGCCACACTTTACTAAGCTCCATCTCTGCGGAGAAGGACAAGAAAGAGCTTTAGACGGTCGACGAAGGCTTCTCTCCTTCTTCAGCTTCCGGCGAGAGGGAGAGAGAGAGAGGCGGCGGAGTTGAAAAATGCCGTTCATATCGCAGATACAACGGCAGTCCGATTACGCCTACTTCCCATCCGAAACCCCTATCGTCATTGACAACGGTGCTTCCTACTTCCGCATCGGGTAAAGGACGAACAAGCTCACTACAAACCCTAATTCTCTACTATGCAGAGCAAAATGCCCGCTGTTTCCATTTTATTTTATAGTTGATTTTGTTTGGACTTCCCCCACCAATTTTGTAATGGCAGGTGGGCGGGAGAGAACGATCCTCGGGTAATTTTCCGCAACATTGTCCAGAGACCTCGCCATAAGGCCACAGGTGAGTGCATCTGTTCTTTGCTCTGTCCTTTTGTTTCTTTTTTCCTTGCCTTTTACTGCCATTTGTCTTACTGTTGAGTTGCTTTGAGATGTGAGTTACAGTAACTAAGTAGCTGTGATATGGGTGGCTCTAATCTGCTCTCTTTTTTCTGGCCATATAGGTGAAACAGTGACCATTGTGGGTGACCATGATCCTGCGTTGTTGAGATACTTTGACTGCACTCGCTCTGGGCCTCGTTCTGCTTTTGACAACAATGTCGTTTACCAGTTTGAAATAATGGAATATGTAAGTTTTGCACAAGATTATAGAGTGGTTATAGTCTCTCACACCTGGTTTAGGAGCAGTACAATTGCTTAATTTGTGCATCTCTGATGCTTACAGCAGTAGGATTGAATTTATCATATTCAAGATTGAACATGTTAAGTCTCATGTGAACTCCCTGTGTGACATTACTGACGGGATGTTGGTTGTTAGATTCCTGGTTTTTCTTGTTCGAACGTGTCATAGGTTATCCTGTCTACCAACAGTTAATTATCTTTACTATTTATCATGCAGATTCTGGACTTTGGGTTTGACCGACTCGGAGCTAATGGATCACAGGTACATAAAAAGTTCATTTATCAATGAGAGGATACCTCAGTAGGCTTCCACTGTATAGGCTAATAGTTTTGTGGTCTTCCATCTGCTCAGCAGGCTGGTTTCATAAAGCTATAAAGACTAGTGATTATTATCATTTTTATATAATACTCAGAGTTGTCGTTTTTTGTTCTTTATTGATTCTTATAATGAGAGAGATCTGCTCTATATTCTTCTCTAATTTGGCTCTTTTGGCTATCGGGTTAATGGAAATAATAGCGAGGTATCATCTACCTAGTCGTCATTCAGAGTGTACCAATTAATATTCAGATTAGGTTTCATGGTTCTGATTATGCGATGCTTGCAATGCAAGGTTCCACTCATTTTCTGCTGTGTTGCAACTGTATATGTAGGATATTTCGTACACGTTTACTTGTGCTGGCTGTTTATTGACTTTCTATCCTTTTGTGCACAGAACAGATTGATCATCCTGTCCTGATCACTGAATGTGTCTGCAATCCGGTGCATTCCCGTAGTAAAATGTCAGAACTTTTGTTCGAGACATATGGAGTTCCATCAGTTGGTATATGCCCTAACTGTCATTGATTAGACAGCTATCCACACACTTCACAGAAGGAACTGTTGTTCTTTTCTGTTTTCTTTCAAAGATACAACTGATATATTCAACTTTAGTTTTGCTTTGATTCATAGCTTTCGGAGTTGATGCGGCATTCAGCTACAAGTACAATCAGCGTCATGGGATTTGCTACGAAGATGGCCTTGCTATATGCCCTGGATTCAACACAACCCATGTTATCCCGGTATGCTTTCTGACCTGTGTTTGCTTATCCTAATTTTAGTTCATAATGGGCGATATATCCGTGTATGCTACAGCTTTCAAGATTGATCATACATTAGTCTAGGAAAACGTTTGAACTTTGTATTGGTGATTGCTCTTCCTATGGAATCAGAGTTTTCTGTTTTTCTCCTAGTTCATTGCTGGAGAGCCTGTTTATAAAGGGTGCACTCGGACAAACATTGGCGGTTATCATGTCACTGACTATCTGAAGCAACTTCTTTCACTAAAGTACCCTCACCACATGTGAGTGTACTCCCATTCAGATTCTGTTTCCAGAAGATTTTATTATTTGCTATAAACCATTGTCTGTGCTTGCATTTTATAAGATGCTATCCTTTCTATCAGGGCTCGATTTACATGGGAAAAGGTTGAAGACCTAAAAATGGAGCACTGTTATATTGCACCAACCTATGCTTCTGAAACTCGGTTGTTTCAGGTAACAGGCTCCCCCATCTACTGCATGACTATCAATACTTGAATATCTCTGTATGTGACCTTGTGCAAATGTGGCACAGAAAGGGACTGATGAAGCTGAAGATAAAACTAGGGTTTGGCAGCTTCCTTGGGTTCCACCACCAGTTGAAGAGCTCCCATCAGAGGAAGAGATAGCCAGAAAGGCTGCTTTAAAGGAAAGGCAAGGTCAAAGGTTAAGAGAAATGGCTGAAGCAAAGAGGTTATCAAGGATAAATGAACTAGAGAACGAGTTGCGTGGGCTGGAATTTCTTCTGCACCAACTTGAGCAGGTACAAGCTCATGAAATTCCTAATTTCCTTAGAGAGACTGGCTATCATTCCAGGCAGGAAATAGAGGCCTCTGCACACAAGGTGACACTGTCTCTAAGGAAAGCTAAAGGAGAGCCAAAAGCTGACCAGTCTGAAGCTGAAGACAAGACTGATTCTAGTGAAAAGTACCCTCTAATAAACATCCCTGATGAAATGCTGACCCCTGATCAGGTACGCTACCAATTTCTTTTTTGCACGTAGTCAATGAGGCAACTGTTTTCTTTGTTATCCACCCAAACTACAATATACAGCATTCTTTTAGCTATATCTTTTTTAATGAATATTTCTTGTGCATCATTGGCAGATCAAAGAGAAGAGAAAACAGCTCTTCCTTAAGACTACATCTGATGGTCGACAGAGAGCAAAGCAGAAACGTCTTGATGAAGAATCGGAACGAGAAAGAAGAAATCAGCTAGATGAAGAAAGACGTTTGTATGCATCTCATCTTCGAATTGCAGCTTTTCTTTCTGAAATCTCTCATGCTCCAGCTAATTTTAATCAATAGTTTACTGCTCATATGTAGCCTACTTATGTTTTTTCCACTGCAGGGAGAACCCAGAGCTTTATTTAGAGCAGACACACGCTAGGTACATGGAACTCGCCGAGAGAGTTGAGCAGCGAAAACGGTTGAAAACAAACGGGAACCAAACCAACGGAAATTCGGGTGGTGTTGGTCGGGGTGAGAGATTGAATGCTGCCCAAAGGGAAAGAATGCGGCTTCTGACAACAGCAGCATTTGATCGAGGGAAGGGTGAGGATACATTTGGTGCTAGAGATGAGGATTGGCAGTTGTACAAGTTAATGAGCAAAGATAATGATGACGATGACGATGGACCAGAACCGGATGAAGTAGAGCTGGCACGCATTTCTTCCCGACTTCAGGTAATGTTCTTTCTGAAGTTCTAAACAACGGGTCTCTAATTCTCTTTTATTTTGGTGTGGCTATTTCAGCTTTTTGAAACTTTTCTTTGCTCTAAAAACTTCAAGTGGTGAAGAAAAAATTGTGTTTGATACAGAAGGTTGAGTTGATGACATGCTGTATACTTTTAGTAATCAAAGAGTTATTGATGAGATACTAGATAGTTCATATTCTAATAAGGCCTGGACTTTGAAATAAGTACTACTGGTATTATTTTGAGAATAGGAGCTGAAAATGAAACTTGTGCACTCTGATATCAATATGATCTTTACTTAACAGGAAATAGACCCGACATTTGTGCCTAAATCAGAAGCAGAGGCCTCACAACAGGGTTCTGAGGTACCAAAGTCCCGACCACTGACCCAGGAAGACTTCAAGATTGTCCTTGGGATAGAAAGATTCCGATGTCCAGAAGTCCTATTTAATCCGAACCTAGTAGGGATTGGTCAGGCAGGGGTAGATGAGATGGCTGGGGTCTCAATAAGGAGGTTACCAGAGAAGGATGAGGAGTTGGAGAAGAGACTGACTAGCTCCATTCTGATGACCGGGGGAAGCTGCCTTTACCCTGGTATGTGCGAGCGCTTGGAAGCTGGGATTCGAATGATTAGACCGTGTGGAACACCGATTAAGGTGGTGAGAGCATTGGATCCAATTCTCGATGCCTGGAGAGGAGCTTCTGCATATGCTGCAGCGGTGCAGTCCCCCCAGCAGACGTTTACAAGGATGGACTATTTTGAAAAGGGCGAAGACTGGATTCGCGGTTACAAATTTAGGTACAATTTGTAGTAACCTATTGAAGAATGATTGTTTTTAGCACGTGTATCTGATTGTAGTAATAGAAAAACCCAACTGGTGATGAGATCAACTGCCCAATTGATTGCCGTATTCCAGTTCTATGGTCTCTCTCCCACTGTTGTTCTTTTCTTTAAGAACTAAGGATTCGAGAAGTATATAAATTGATGGTGCTCATGGTACTTGGTTTATTATATGGAGACAACTGACTTTACATTTACCAAAAAATCGATAAAAGCAATACAACTGTTTCCATAAAATATTATTTGTCAAATCTGTCTGAGTGGAAAATATAAATTTGGTATGTATATGCATAACCCCTTCATGTACAGGTGGGAACGAATTGAATAGTAGAAGATTGATTGATAATCTCATCATCTAATGTGCGTTCGTCCAAGCGACCAAAGCCCTGTATCTTTAACTGGCGCCTGTTGGCAACAAAAATACAATGTTAGTGTACAATTATTAGCTTCCAGGTGATATTCTATTGTGTCAAAAGGGAGTGCTAGCTTACCGGTGTCTTCATGGATGGGAAGACATTCCAGAACCGCAGAGTTTCATCTCCTGCTCCAGTTACTATTGTCTGCAAACAAAAGAAAAATCCCCATAGAGAAATCAACTCAGCTGGTGAAATGTACAAGGCCAAAAGCTCCTTTTGAGAAGCTGAATGAAACAAACAGCTCCATTACCTGACCATCAGGCGACATAGCAAGGTACAGAACCCGCAAACTGTGCCCAGTTAGAGTTGCAACCTGTCCAGAGGAGGAAAACTACAATCAGTGAATGGCCGTACTTATTTTTGTTTGAAACAGTTTATTGGTATTAGGCTACTGAATTGATTACCTTCGATAATGATGGATACTTCCACACCATGATTTGGTTCTGGGAATACCCATGGGTGCTCACCAGCTCGTTCACGTTCTTGCTCCAAGCTAGATTGCATACCTGCCCCCCACAAACCAAACTCCATCAGGACTTGACAATAATGTAAAAACTGTTGGGAAACACAAACTACTGCCTTGGAGGAAATGATGTGTCCTACTCGATCATAGAAAACGACATATTACCTGGCTACCGGTATCAATATGGTTTAACTGATGGCCGGTGGTAGTGTTCCAGAAGCGAATACATCTATCAGCAGTTCCACCTCCAGACGCAAGCAGCCCGCTCTGGTGAGGCGACCATGTAATCGCCTTCACTGCCGCCGTGTGTTCTGTCAGCTTCAGAATCGGTTGCTGAGATTGCTGGTTCCACACTAGCAGCTGAGAGAAGCCCACACAAACCCCAATTCAAGTCATTCCGCCCAATTAATCTCTCTCCATCACTGAACGCACCCATTCAAGTCGATTCGATCCAGTTACCTGATTGTCATTTCCACCGGATGCAAGTTGTCTGTCATCGTGAGACCATTTTAATCCACACACCTGCAAAAAAAAAAAAAAATGCAGCAAAGCAATTTAGCACAACACAGTACTTCTTCCACTTGAGGAAACTTCAAAAGTACAGTGTTGGGAAGCATTAGGCACCTCAGATTTATGGCCAACAAGCTTGCTAACAAAGTCGCCAGGAACACGAAGATCGTGCTGAAGTATGTTCCTATCCCTGCTTCCTGATGCCAGAATCCGCGAATTCCAAGCCAATACACCTGTCCTCGTTTGATGCCCTCCCATTGTCCTTACCCGCTTGCACTGTGTTCCATCCCACACCTGCCATGCCAAACAGAACAACTATCATTATTGTAACTCTTCCAGTCTCTCAGGGAATAAGAATGGACTGAGAACTGGGCAAGCTAAAACGCTACCTGAACTTGCCCGAAATGGGTGCCAACTGATATGTAGGAACCTTCTTTGGTCCATTGCACTGAGCACACACTATCATTAGGTCCTAAATCACACAACTTTGTCACCTGATTATAACAAACACAAAGCCAAATTTGCTACTTTAGTTCACTTCTGACAGACAAAATCCAATTGTTTCAAGATGCCGCAGCAAAAAGCTTACTTTGCTGTTTGATGCGGACCATAAATACACACAAGTCCCTAACCCAACTGCAAGCACGTTCTGGGACGACCAATCCACCACGTTCAAATAGAAGTCATCCTGTAGAGATGGAGCATCTAAAACCTGCAGCAGAAAAACTGTAATCAATTCAAAATCTACTACACAATTTCCCCTTTCAGCACTGAAAACCACAACTTTGAATTTGAAATTCCTGACCTTATGGGGAGTCTTGGGGACCTTGCGGGGAGGCTTCGTAGGGGTAGAACCTTCATTAGAACTTCCACTATCCTGCCTCAAGATCGAAGGAGAATACGGGGAATCGGGCCCTCCAGAGTGATCGGTCTTGAACCTCAGCATATTCGGACTTCCCAAACCGCTACTGCCTGCAGGGGAGGAAGAAAAAGAGCCAAAATCAGACCCAAACAGCTCACATTTCAATAATCTAGCATAAGTCTCGTTCCCTCCTCCTTCTTTAACGGGAGAACCAGCCGCCGGCGGCTTGTCCAGAAGCCCAAATGTGTTGAGACGGGAAGCCGATCGGCAAGGTATGAACCGATCGCTGCAGACAGAAGTCTTCGATGGCGACGATAGGCTGGAGATCATTCGGGGGGAAGACACCGAGGCGACTCGAAATGCCGTAGAGGAGGAAACAGATGGATTTTGCTTGGCAATGCTGTCGAGGCGGAGGGAGGTCTCGTTCATCCCGGCAGGGAGATTGAGTCCGCTCTTCCTTCTAGTCTGTGGATCCATTGTTTCTGTGTTTTCCGCTTCAAGATTGTATTTTTCTTGGCCGGCGTTTTGATTGTTGGACAGGAATTTTGGAGAGGACCGCTGCCGGGAAAACCAGAGAGGTTTCTTTCTTTCCGGTGGCGTTTCTCTCTGGCAATGGCGAGTCGGAGGGGTTCTCTTTGGGGAGTTTGCAACGGTCGAATTTTGGGACTAGATATATAGGAAGGGAGCGGAGGAAACGGTGAAAGGTTGGAGCCAACGGTCATTTTTCATTTTTCATGGGCCAATGTGAGCTTTTGATTGGCCCCGCTGGCGGCGTAATTTTGCTTTTCAAATCAGCTTACGCGCCAATAGGCTAGTAAGCAGTAACTTTGCACAACCTTTTTTCTGGCCAAGTGATTTGATTTCCCTTTGTAGCAAACTGGAAGATGACTGCCAATTTCTTGGCTACACGCCTACACTTCATAGAACCTTCTCTTTACGCTTTCACTATATCCTTCACTCACTCTTTCATCTAAAGAACTTTAGATGGAAAAAAGAAATTGTAAATCACTGAAAGAGAGAAGGACTGTTTCCTCTGACAATTCACACAGAACCCTTTAACCTACCCAGCCTTGCCTCTGCAGCTGTTCCGGCAGCAAACCGAGAATCGGGATCTTTTATGATTGGAGGCCTTGGCAGATGAGGTAGATCTCTCTTGACGAAGATCGTGTTGCTTTCGGCCTTAACCACGATGCCTTTCTGAAGAGTGGCTTGCATATCTTGGTGAAGTCTACACAGCAAAACCACAAGTTGGAGCAAAGGGTGAAAACAAAGGAACTTCCTTTTGGAAGCTTTTCTATTCAGGAAATTATTCTCACTCACCCTGAATATCCTCACTCTCCAGAAGCTTGATGACTAGGTTTCCTCCAGATAATAATATACCACTTTCATTGGTATCAGCAGCAGCAGAAGGTCCATCTACAGACCCCTCCTGCTGAATTGATGCTGCTGCTCTACCCACAGCCAGTTCAAGTGCTCGCATCCCTAGCTCCATGGATAAAGCAGCATCTCTGGTTGTAATCCCAGAAACTGAAGGGCACATGTCTGACAGTATCACAGAAAATCCTTTCTTCTGCATAAACAGCAAATGCAAGCAAATTTGAAACTTTTATAAGATTGAAATGGCGGAAACTCAACGGAAGAGTATTCTTAAATAACTAAAGGCTTAAAGAGAGGCAGTTCAGTCAGAACCATACACATGGCCAGATGATAAGCATGAGTGAATTAAGGAAAAATGGGGCCACACTTCAGCGTTCTAAAATGAGGAACAGTGAGCTAACCCAGTAGATTCAAATGCTGATTCCCTACTTGCTTAAAGCCAAGGTACACGACTTTGTGCAGACCGTGGTGATAACTACAGTCATTCTCTCATTCAAACATTGTCTCATCTGCAAATCCTCCAGTTGACATGCACTAAGACAATTAATTAAGAACTATATAAACTGCAAACTATGTGATTCAGTCTAATAACTACATTCAATCAACAAAACTAGAAATAGCCACTAGTAGAATAAGTATTTAATTTAAGCTAGCAACCCATTACGAAGTCACGGTTAGCACAAGTAATACCTTAGGAGAGAGAGCCCTAATTTGGTCCATGGGGAGCTTCACCACATCAGCTGAAACAGTCTGAACCCTTGCATCACAGTGAGCTGAAGGAACCTTCACCTTCTGCTCTGCACATTCCATAGTAGAACATATTATAAGGTTGTACCAAGTTCACTGCCTTGAAAAGTTCTCCAAAACAAGCAAGCTCGACGATTATCAAAACTAAACCAAGAACAATCAGAGTGGTGGATAACACACCTTGAGATCAATGCCCACTACAGCCCCGCCACTTTGTAATGGACCTAAGCTCTGGCATGCCACCTAAAATTATAAGCCCATTTCAACATCAGAAACATCAATCTTATACCTCAAATTAGAACAAAACAGAAATCCAATGAAAACCCATGTAGGAAAACATCAGAATTTAATTAAAGCTTGCATCTTTAAGAGCACAGACAACCAGCGAAATACCTGAAGCCAAGCACCGGGGGCGCAACCCAGATCAAGAACGGATGACCCGGGAGTTATAAGTTTGTGCTTATTCTGTATCTGGAGAAGCTGGAGGAAGAGCGAGCGAATGGAATCAAAGCAGAGAGTCAGAGAATGACCATCGAAAGAAATACAGTAACAAGGGAGATCAGGTGCGAATGGAGGAATGGAAATTATCACCTTGAAAGCAGAGCGTGCTACGTAGCCGAGGCGCTGAGCTTCTCTATAGAAGAAATCAGGGGTTCCGGCGCCACTCATCTCTCGGAGTCTCTCACTAGAGAGGAGCGGGTGCTTCGAATTGAGGGAAACCAGAAGGAAGGGTTCTGGGTTTTAGCCGGAGAAAGGTAGAAATTTTATTTTCATCCGTGAACTTCCTTATTATTATCATTCTGGTACAATAATTTTTTTATACAACAAACTTATATTCCATCAAACTGATACGTCAAATCTTATTCTTAGTCGCCTTGGTACATGAAGTTTCTATAATCAGGATTTTCCAATTAGCGTTGGTTATCATGCAAAATAACTAGAGCTAAGATTTCCATGTAACATATCATGCCAAATTGAAAAATTAGTAATCAGTGATCATCAATGAAGATCCTTACAAGTTACATCTACAAAGTTATTGATTTCTAGGCTAAAACATGGTCAGGCACAATAGACAACAATAAACAATTACTGTACTCGTGTAACTATCAAATAGCTTACTCAAGGGATTGATTAGAGCTAACATGATTTAGTAATCTACATCATTATTTCTAACCGAAATTGAAAAGAAAGAAAAATGTTGAGGGGTGTAAGCAACAAACATTTTTACCCCAATAATGGAGTTGGTCACCTGATAATTCAATCCAGATTCCAGACATACATAAATCATAAACCTTTCCCCAGGAATTGATTAATGTTGTTGAAATTCTGATAAGCACGTGTAAGAATAACTTGGAAGATAAAGAAAAGGAAAAATAATTCCATGTTCGGAAACCGTAATGCATTACATCTAACAGAGCTCACATATCCTAGTTCCCAACCTCACATGCCCTCATTTATGGTCTTCCTCTTTCAAACAGAACTCAACTGACTGCATGTCATGTTGGTTATTATACTGCCACGCGGCGTGCAACGCAAGCTGACACCATCGGATTAACTCCTTACGTTCTTAATCGTTGGCACGTAAGCGAAAGAACAATCCAACGATACCTATTAGCAGTGAACTCCCACGTTTATTCGTGACCTAGACTCGACATAGAAATGAAAACAAACAAATAAATAGAACATAAAATAAAACATATATCAGCTGACTCCAGCCGTAGAACCAGCTAGGAGACATTGACAAGCTACTAGTTTGGTGAAACAAAAAAAATATATATATACAAAGCTGACAGTGACCAAGACCAAAGATTTTATAGAGAAAACAAACAAAGTGCTTCAGCTGTGCATTGTATTTGGGAAAAACAGGAGAAAGAGACATGGATGAGGACTTTTCTAACGAGAATATGACGGCCACCACCGCTATCACCATCACCCACTTGCATTTTCAGAACCATACGATGAGGTGAATGGCTAAAGAACAAAATTATTACTATGGGGTACTTAACGAACTATTCAACTCAAAAGTCTGCAGATCCTAGAGCTGATATCAGAAACATTGCAGATATTTCTGCCAACAGAATCTGATTAGATTAGCCATTTTGATGCATTGCCACAGCTAATAGCTTAGGAATGTACGGAACACTAAAAACAAATCAAGAAATTTACACTTCTGAAGCTATACATGGCGAAAAACGAAAACTGTAATCTTCTCTTCTGTGATGTGTTTTTCAACACAGTTTCAAGGCTACAGATGATCCTTAGCTCTCAAACAAGAAGCTCTAGCGGTTGCCATGAGACACTTGATCGATCATTGGTCAACGATCATCTCTTCCTCGCTCATTGAGATGGATACTGCTGCATTGCACGCCTAGAAAGCAGGGAACTCTCTTGGCTAACGCTGCAACTCTCAGTCTCTCACTGATTGTCCTACTCAGCAAGCAGATGAACCAAAAATGTATGATGTTCATTCTACCATTTTGACTGCATGAAAGCAGTGACAGTAGTTGGGTAGCAGAAAGAAAGATGAGGAACAAATGGAATTACCATGAACTCACAGAATGAAGAAACCATTGCCCTATGGCAAGGTCACCCCACAATGCCCCTTGCCTGTTCCATGATGAACAATAGAGAGATTACTTTAATAATCGATAGGTTTCCAGGTAGAGAGTGCATACAAAATCCGACCCTTCCACCCTTGGAGAAGCCATTGCCCATCCTCATCAATCACAAAATCTTTGTCATAATTCTCCTTCACCTTTTCTTTTGCAATCGTAAAAATCCCCCTATTCAGAGGCAGCTGTGTGAACCCAGCTCTTTGCATCCTGACTTGACACTGCTTGTATGTCTCTGGCCTCTCCAGCCTCTCTGCACCTTCACAAGCAATCACATTCATGGCCTCCCAACCGAAAATTTCTCTCTCAATAAGCTTCCTCTCCGGGATATCACGTGGAACAGTAGTCTCCAACATATCAAACAAAGTGGAGTAGTGGAAGAGAGCCTCCCTGAACCGGGTGATGAAGAATGGTGCGCTGTAGGCTCCATTGACAACGCCGAGTATGAAGACATCGGGCCTCATCTTCCTCACCAGGTTTAGGACAATGTTCCTAGGACAGTCCACCACCACCGTTTCATCCAGCAAGTTTCTCAGCCTGAATAAACAGTTCACAACCAGAACCTCACCCTTCTCAATCTTGAGATCCTCGATCCGAATAGTGTCCCACTTCTGTGCAATGGCATTGAACTCGAACGGAACATTGAAAGTTCTAGCGTAGTTTGCCAACCTACGCCCAGTCTCCTCCACCCTTTCAGCTGGCCGGAAACCCGGGTTCGGGAAATCGACTCCTGTGATTCGAAGCTTTGGAGGCCCACCAGGCATGGAGGACAAGCGCTGAATGAGGCATGGCCACTGGAAACCATAAAGAATTCCGAATTCAACTATGTGAAGAGTTTTCGTTGTCGAACGTTGAGCCAAGTTCATTGTTGTTTTGTTTGAGAAAAAGTTCGAGAGCTTCCTAAATGGACATGCAGCTAGAAACAGCTGGTACGCTTTCAACACATCAGCAGCTGAGGTTGGCTTTGTAATGAGTGCTTTATATATTTGTGTTCCCGAGCCAGCTAAGCGTGCCTCCAGACCATCTGCAAAAATGTATGCGAGTCTCTGCATTCCATCCCCAGTTTGGGAAGCATTATCCCTTATCTGTTTCAAAAGATCGTTTGAGTTCCTCCTGTCATCAGCAGCAACAGCCTGTGCGCAGAGAGTCAACAGTGTCCTTAAGTCAACCACATTTTGTTTAGCTTTCCCCTGGCGCTTGCCTCGAGCTCTGCCACCACTACTAGACAACCCTTTGGTGGTTTGTCTATTCTGCTGTGCTGTCTTGTTCTTCTCACTCTGGAGAGCTGCACGGAGTGAAGCCTCTGGATCCTGTGCACAGTTGAGTAATATCCTGTCAAAATCTGCAGAACTCACTGTTGATTCGGGAGAAGAAACTGCTGACTGCTTACTGCTCCTTCCAGATCCAACCTCCAAGTTGAGATACTCAGGAGGATGAGGGTTCTTCTTTCCTCTAGGCTCATGCTTACTATCATGATCATAAAGGTCTTTAAGGTAGATCCCGTTACTCTCTACATCAAGAGCCAAATTACTCCTGGGAATGAACTTACTTGCCTCTTCAAACCCTTTTCTAAACTGAATAGCAGACTCGGTCTCAGCAAAAAAGTCTGGAACTGAAATGCTGCTCAATGGAGATTCTGCGAATGAACTATCAATTACTGTGCTTGAGCTGAGCACTGGACTATGTGATGTATAATTATCATTATAACTCCACCCAGAATCAATTAAGCTACTACCACCACAACTGTTGCTGTTCGGGCTACTAGTAGAACAAGTGCGAGGATTCGGTTCATGGCTTTCATCTAAACTCTCATGGTGTTGATCAGTAACATGTAAAGTTGGTGGGTACCTTTCTCCAATGAGTTCATAGAGCGATTTCTCTGCGGCCTGAAGTGCTGCTGAGGACTCCTGGAACATGCATGCTTTCTCTCCCATGTCTTCTTCCATGAGCATATCAGTAATATACTTGAGAACCACATCACTGAAATCAAAATCATCATGGGGCGACTCTAAAGCTTGGGTTCTGCTCGACTGAAACGTTGCCTCGCCAACGTTTCCACTAGGGCAACTGGTTGGCAAAGGAGAAATCCTCACTGGGTTCTTATTATCAACAGCAGAATTGTCTGACTTATACCCAGAAACCAGATTCCTACTAGTTAAACCAGAGAGGGTTTCATGACTCAGCTTCAACCCATTCACAGAATCGAATAACCCCCCTAATGATTCACCCATGTACATCTATATAAACAGTTGTCAGCAGAACAAGGTCAACCAGAAATCCAAAACCTCGATGAACTCCAAAACTTGCTCTTGTCTCCCCGGACCCTTCTCTTCCAGAACATGAAACACCTTCAAAAAGGGTGGAAAAAGAGAATTTTCACGAGAGCTTCAAATTACACTACGGAGGAGAACCCTTTGCCAACCAAATAAAACAGCAATAAGACAAAAATTGGTCTTGATTATGTCGTCTCAAAGTTCCCAACTTCACAAACCCCCCTACAAAGGGGCAGAATTACGCAGAGTACACAAGATTAAGACTTTGATTCGGAAGCCCAAATTACATCAGCAAAGAAAAGAACTTGAACATGCATTTCAATCAAGCAAGAGAATTAAAATATTCATCGAGCAGTAGCAATTCAGTGATGAAGGAAAAGAAAATTCAACAGCCCTTCAGCGCCAAAACACAGGAGGGGCTAAGAACGCAAAAAGAGAAAAGTTGGAATTTATCCAGAACAGCTGCTTGGACAAAATGAAACAGGGCGGCGTCGGCGGCGACAAAAAGGGAAGATGAAGTTACCTGCCAAGGGAAGAGAGCCGGAGAAACACCTCCAGCAAAGAAACGGGAAGAGAGGATATAGAATGGAAGGATGAGAATTGAGAGGAGACAGTACGGACTAGGGAGGAAGAAGCAGAAGAGGGCGCGAGAGCGTTAGAAAAGCTGCTCTGTTTCAGAGCATTGGGAAAGGCTATGAATGGAAGAGCTGGGCAGGGCAGGGTAAAAAGGAAATGATAAAAGTCCAAAAAAAAAAAACGACGTAGACCCGTGAATTTAAACTACTTGGGAGAGCCATTAAATTTTGATTAAATACCGAATTTGGTCACTAATTTATTAGGAAGAATTTTGGTATTTTAATTGTCTTAATTGTCTCAATACCAAGTTTAGTGCGCAATATCACATGGAAAGAGTAGATGAAGGACCAAATTGACATTTTTACGTACTAAAAATGTACTTCGTCCAAAAAATTATCAAGAAGTAATAAATATTCAAATTTTTAGAATAATTTGCTAGTAGTTTAAGATCGAATTAATGAAGTCTTTCGATTTGATGGCGTCAGGCGTGGACTTCGGTTGTCACTCTTGTCAGCACCATGAGGAGAGTTTGGGTTTTCCTAGTAACTTTTGTTGTTTGGATTGGATCAAAGTTTGCCTTGAATGAACCTGATCATGCGGATTGTGCAGATTCTTCCCAGTCACTAACGAGTGCGAGAAGCCCACTACCGAAAACGGGCCATAGCCCACAATTTTCCCGGAAGGTTATATCCGTCTTCTTAGCTCTTGGGCTCTTCCCATCCCACTAAAGGCCGAACCTGGCTAGAATCTCGAAGCCTTGTCGTGGGCTGTGATTTTGTAGCAGTTGGGCTCAACAATTATCTGCAATCAATTACTTAGGTGTCAGTGATGGAAAATAATTACTTAGGCCTAGATATAATTGAACGAGCTAGACAGTCAATATCGAAATTAAGGGAGAAATTAACATTAGTTACAATCTCAATATTTGCTCTCAATCTTTTTAACAGCTCAAAAACTATGTGAATCATTGACATATAATTCTATGAACATATAAGCTAATTTCCTTATCCTTAAGTAATTTATTAATCATTTGAAGTGAAGTGGAAGGGTTGAATTTAACTACTTCATTCATCATTTAATACAAAATGCTATTTAGTACAATATCTTAATGCCTTATGTCTAGTGTCTTCATTTTTTTTTTTTATTTATTGAAAGGAGGCAAGCGCCAAAGGATTACAAACTCCTAACAGCTAGGAGTAGAACACAAAAGCTCAGGACAAACTTAACCAAAGCCAAAACAGGAGATCAGAGAAGCAGGACCAAATCCACACGGATCATATGTCTTCAGCTCTAATAACTTGTCTATGAAAGCTAATTCCCAAAATGTCATCTCTGCATATTCTATTGAGCTCCAAAGGGGATCAATTAGCTCATGCGTACCGAAGGGATAGACGAGACTATGCTTCGAAAGCCAGTCCGCGACTCTATTCCCTTCGCGATACGTATGTACTAATCGAACCACCCATTCTCTTGCCAACATTCTTCTGATCGTGCCAAGCAAAGTTGCATATGAATGAACCTTGTCGTTCCTCATCTCAATGAGCTGCACAACTAATTTGGAATCAGTCTCAAGAATGAGAAAGCGAGACCCCTTTTTTCAAGCCAACTCCAACCCCTGTAAAATTCCCCAGAGTTCGGTTAAGAGAGCAGTGCCAGATCCAAGCTTGCTGTAGAAACCTCCGACCCAGACTCCATCATGATCTCAAAGCATGTCTAGTGTCTTCATGAACCTTGATATATATGCCTTTTTTTTTTTACAATACCATTTGATAAGCTTGTAATAGTCTGAGAAATGATAAGTTTTCATGTATAATTAAACGTTTAACAATTTATAAACAAATATTTATACACAATGAAAAACATATCCAACAAGGCATCTCCAGCCGAGAAATGATTCCATTTCCACGCCCCCACCGACCCACCAACCAGCCCCACAACCTCACTCAGATCAGATCAGATCCAGATCCCAATTTCCAGCCAAGAATCACAATCCTCAAAACTTTGGCATTTTACTAACTTGCTACTGCAGCAAGCAACAACCAAACACGCCCCAATTTTATAAAAACAAACAAACAGCTCCCATATTAAAACTATAACTCTCCAGTCTTTACCCAAAACCCAAAAGAAGTAGAACACCATCTTAAAATACATCGCCAGCCAACCTCCTTAAAAACCCAAAAACCAAAACCAGACAGCGCCAGGCAGGCAGGAAACCCAGACTGAATACTCTGGTATAAAATTCACGTGGCATGTGAAGCGCACGTGCCCGGCCCTCTTGCTCTTCTTTTTCTCTTGCCCATATTATCCACCGTTACAACTTACAACTTACAGCAACAGAAAAGAGAAAACAAATCAGAGAGAGAAATGAAAAAAGGGGGAAAGTTTTAAGAAGAAGAAGAAGAAGTAAAAAAGACGACTTGGTTAAGCAAGCTTGCTTGAGTCGTACGAAACTAGACAAGGAAGGGAAACAAGGAAGTAAGGTAGCTAGCTGCTAAGCCATCCAACCATGACCCTTCCTCATCAAGTCTTTCTTTTCTCTTTATATTCCCTCCAAAGTTCCAATTCTTCTTCACAAAACAGAGAGAGAGAGAGAGAGAGAGAGAGACAGTGTGCTGTTGGGTTCGGTTTGGCTTAAAAATGTCACATGGCGGTTGCGTGCAAGGAATAGAGTTTTAGCCGTAAAGAAATTTTGCGCCTACTCCCACCACCACCCTTCTCTGCCTGCCTTTCAAGCTCCAATTACTTTACCTTGATGCTTTCCCCTCTTCACAATCCAACAGTTTCATCCCACTTCCTTTTTGCAGAACATACAATGCTGTAAAGGATATACCAATGATTCATCAAAGCTAGTAGTAGTTTCCGTCTGTTCGTGAATCGAAACGAGACATACATGTATCGAAAGAGGAGCAACTGATGATGCGTTGCAGATCGAGTACGACAGTAATCAAATCACAAGAGACGAGCGAGGTGAAGATATGAGAAACAAAAATGTCTCCTTTTTTCAAATGTCTCCTTTGAACCTGAACTACACAGAATCTATCCTACCAATTCTATTACACCAGATTAAATCAAAGAATTGGGAAATTTTAATGTTCCTATTAGGCTGAGCCACTCCCCCTAGAGGGGATTTATTTCATGGAACTGAATCAATTTACAAAATGCCCTAGCTTTCCTTCTCCCCTGGTCTCCAATGGGGGGGAGGGGAAACACTGGGAATGAATTGTTGTAAAGACAAGTGTGAGTGTATTACATAATAAACATTCCGAGAAATCAATTGTTGCATTTTGTACAATTTTGCTGCTGTTCTTCTTTGTCACCCTGTTCTGTGCCTTCCCCTGTTCCTTCCCGGTCAACAAGTAGTGGTTGTAGTAGTTTCCCTTCCTTTTGTACACTATTATACCAAGTGAAATGTTACCCGAGTCCTTCTTCAAGCCTCAATCGCCTGCCCGTCTGTTATCTGCAGCACCGTCGGGGTTGCAGTTGCAGTCGCAGTGGCAACAGCAGCTGCATTTTTGGTATGTTGCTTGGCTTGATGCTGCGACCAGTAGCTGTGTGCAGCCAACACTCTGTCAAGAAGCTTCTGAGGAACTGGCTCTCCCCTTCTTTGCTGCGGAGCAATCTGGGCTGTGTGGACTAATGTCTTCCATTTATCCTGACAACCAAAAGTTTGAGGAGCCAGTAGAATGTCAGCTCAATTTTGCTGAAGGAAGTTCAGCATAAGTGCATATTACAAGGATAACACAAGTGAATTGGTAGATTGAACGACAGACATTGATATAATGTGAATTTATGTATTAAAACATCAGGATCACAGAAATTCAATAGGCAAGTCTGTGTACCTTCAAGTCAACATATGTTCGATGGTCAGCATTGTCAAAAGATCGCAACTTAACATCCCGCCACCTGCGGAAGTACAAGAACCCATTGGTGAGATTATGTTTTACCAGTACAGGGAATTGAGCATTGTATACGATCGAAGGAGAGATTTATATACCTTCCAGTGCCAAGTTCTTCAACGGCTTGGACAAGTGCCTCTACTTCGGAGACTGAGAATGGTCTCCTAGTTCGACGCTGTACATTCTCAGATCGCCTAGATTTCTGGTTGAGGGGAACAACAGCAAGTGCCTCAGCACTTGCTGGTTCAACTGCAACCAGAGCTTTGGAATCTGATGGTGATTTGTTGTCAGCTACTATGTCAGCATTAGAGGAAAGTGGTTCCTGATCAGTAGTCTCACTGTTGTAGTCAACCTGATTTGTTGGTGGAGAAGGAGCAAGCCTGGGTGAGTCAATAAGCTTTAGTGACTCTACAATTGTAGTCTCTGGGGACCTGAAGAAACAAAATAAATAGCTGAGAATCACACGTGTAACAAAAACCATTTTGTCTTGTCGAGAAAGGCTAACATGAGACAGCAGTAGTCCTTAATATAAGCTGACTGGGAGGAAAATCTTTACGATTAGTCGAAAAGAAGGTTTGAATTACCTTGATATAAGGTGGGATGTTTCACATGGTAAAATAGCATGAGGCTCTTCACTGCACAAGGGCACAGGAGCTTGCACTGAATTAGGCTCCAGGGTAAAACCCAGAGTCTCAAGGCTTTCAGCAGAAGTGATGCCAGTCTGCAAAAGGGTTCTGTTATCGTCCCTGACCTTCTTTCCGTGAAGAACTAGCCCAACACGTAAACCACCACCAAGTAGAGAAGTTACAGCTTCCACAACAGTTCTCTGTAGCAAATTTAAAATCCAGTCTCATTAGAATGAGCAAAATATAAAGGAACATCAGGAAACATCTAGCTCCAAGTAGCGACTAACTAACTGGTTTCAGGTTTGAGAGAAGACAACAAGAAAAACTAGTCTATGATGCAAGCAGACACAAGCTTTCAAATCCCAACTGGTACGGAAGAGTGCAGATCTATACCTTGAGAGAACCAACAGTTAAAGTTTCTGGGACGTCAATGAAAAGTTCTGGAATTTTGAAGGACTTGATGTTCAGTTTAACTGAAACAAGAAGTTTGACAACAAATAAGAACCTTGGGAATCCAAGACAGTCGAAATCAAGGGCCAAAACCATAAACATTTATCCATCTCAGTACCATGAGAATCCTTCGACCGGAGCTGGGCTTGATTACCAATAACGGGAGATGAAATGCCATTTTCTGCATAATAATCATGAGGCATGAGCAAAAGAAACCAGCAACAGCTGAAAGCTTAGAGAAATGGACCAGAAAACAGGAAAACGGAGCAGTAGAAATCAACACACCTCCATAACACAATACTGCTGAACCATTGTCTCCAGACGTGCCTTTCTCAGGAGAGTTACAAACACTTTCACCGCTAAAACCCCTATCAGATGCTATGACTACGCTACGGTCAGAAAACTTCCTCCTCTTGTAAAGAATGTCGCCCTGAGTTTTGTCAGGGTTGCAAGACAACTTCCTCTTATGATGAAGAGGCTTCATCCCCAAATCTGCAAATACAGAAATGAAACTGAAATGTCAGGAAAAAGTCAATAGACAGAGATATAAATCACACTCCAGCAAACAACCACTTACAAGGTCTCGTTAGCTCATAGTCTTTCAGCTTCGGTGCTGCTTTCCAGTATTTGGATGACAGTAGTTTTCTTATTCTTCTGTCTCCAATTCTAGATGAAGGCCTAAATGCCTTTCTTCTGCTGCTTAGTTTATTAAACCTAAAAATGTTTTCATCATCATCTCTAATACCTAATTTAACACCATTCCCATGCTTCAAATCAGAAGCCCTGGGAAGGGAATTCCCATGGGATAAATGTATGGCAGTGTTGTCTGAGTTGATCAATGCAGGATTCCTCAGGCATGACTTCATGGGATCCTTTGAACTGCAGGCATTATCAAGGATCAACCCCTGAGTCTCCATCCCATCAGCCAATGGCTGACTGCCAACCCCATTTTCTGGTTTTTCATCACAAGGCTCTACAGTAACAGGAGGGACTCCCTCCAACTTAGGTGCCTTTTCACCTTGGATTGGCTTTACATCACTATTGCCTTTCTCTGAGGAATCGGAATTCGAGACAGTTGAATACCGCTCCAAAATGGCATCACTCTCAGCTGGCAGTGGAATTTCATTCAGACTTCCCCTACTGTCACTGCTAGGTGAACCGTAGTCAGGGAGGAAAATGCTCTCTTCGCAGCTTCCCAAATCCAAGCACTCTGTTTTCACAGGTTTAGTCTCAACTTGCTCTCTTTTAACAACACCATCACTAATTGCAGGCCGGTCATTTGCATCAGATGCATTACTAGAAGCAGATGAGCTTTCACTCTCCTGTAATAGCTTTCCAGCTAGAGAAGCAAGTAACTCAAATGCACAGATTTGGCTGTCCTCAACTATCCTCTTATGAAAGGCCCTCTGCCAAGTAAAATCATGAAATGGCGGTCGTTAGAAAGACCATTCCTTTCTATGAAATAGCACACTAAACTCAGAAAAGAAATGTATCGTAAGTACTTACTCTGGCAGATCTGGGAGCCTTGGGAACAGAAGGGAAGTGGAGATTGTTAAAACCATGAGATTGTCTCTTCTTAAACACCATATCTCAAGCATACATACCAGATGGGCACTTATCAAACAAGAATTGTCGCAATCGGGGATCACAGCACTGCGATCAATCAAAAGAACAAGGAAAATGTCAACAAGCTATTCTGGCTTCAATTTTGAATACATTCAATCTATAAGTTTATGCCAAACAAACACAATCATCATTGATCTGCTCATCAACATGAAACCCAAATCAAAATTGAACTGAAACAATCTCAATATCAATCTGAATTCTGAACCCATCAAAAAGAGATCCATAACACCATTACTGAACTACAAGATCAAATTCTCACCCGATCGAAGCACATCCGTATCAACCATACGAAATTCAACAAAAATTGATAAGAAGAAGGAGAAGACACCAACTTGACCTTAACAAAAACTTACGCAGCCGCAGCAGCAATTAGTGCAATCAGAACATTCTGATTTTCAAATGGCACAAATCTACAACAGACACGTCAAGAAAGACTCATGCTGGAAGATAATTCAGCTCCAGAATTAGAATTCTTGCTCCAGAGAACAATCTACCAATAATTCAGCAATGCCCACAGTAATTAAACAACAGACGCAAAACCAGAAGAAGAAAGCCGATTTTACAAAAACAAGTACAATCTCCTGGAATTCAAATAAGGCTGCTGAGTTTTTTTTTTAGAACAAAAAGCACTGAAACTCCATATCCCCTTTGGTAAAAAAAAACTGCAGTTCCCTCCCAAACCCAGAATTCCGGCAAACCGCCTCACATCCACGATCAGATCCCGATCTCAGGCCACGAAAGCAAAACAGAGAATCACTTTCACCCTTAATTTTTTATTTTCGGCAAGATCGAAAGAATCGCAGCTCGCTCGCACACAATTGAAACAACACAATCATGGGACAGAACAGAAGCAACGAAGAAGAAGAAAGTTGAGCAGGGAATTCCACCAACATTAGCCTGATCTAACACTTACCACCACTGACCTCGAGATTAACGTCAATCTTGGGAGAATTCCGTCGAACAATATGTACAGGAAGAGCCCAACCGAGTCGGCGCGACGCAGATCGGGATCGGAGGTGGAAAATCTGACCAGGCAGAAGAGATCAGGCGAGAGAATTATCAATTCCAATTCAATGCAACAAGAGGGAATTAAACAAATCCGCCATCACCACCGAAATCAATCTCTCTGCATTCTAGTTGCTCATTTTTATTTTTACCTCGAACTCAAAAGAAACATAAGAAGAGGGGAAAAGGGTAACAGAAAAACCTCTCTCTCAATAAACACACACAGACAACAACGAGAAGGGAAAAACCATGAAAGAAGAGAAACAACAGTGGCTTTTGCTGCCTTAAACCCCTCTCCTTCTTCGTCGTCTGTTTTTTTATATCCTTCCTTCCAAAGAACGTTTGACCACAAAACCGGGCGGGCCGGTAACCCAGCGCCCATGACCGGGCGATAGCCGGTCAGCGATAAACCCCTTACCCCTCCACCCTCTTCTCTCTCCGGGAGTATTTGAAGGAAGTGATGGGTTTTAGCCACGTGGAGCGCTGCCGAATTTTGTTATTTATGTTGAAGGATAATGAGGTGAAAAAGTAGAGAAAAGAAACGAAAACGGAAAAGGAAAGAAGGAGGACAAGTAATGGGGTTTTTTGTGTGCGTGGGGAGCGACTCGCGGTGTGATTGGTGGGACGGGTTTGACGTGGGCCTGGTGGGCTTTGAGGGTTGGACGCGCGGTCCACTAACTGCAATTTGTGGCTAAGTGGCTAAGGGAGAGAGAGAGAAGGAGGGAAATGTGATCCAAATAATAACCGGGGGAAAAAATGAGAGAGAGAGAGAGAGAGGGAGAGCGCAGTTCAATTTTCTTTTCTTCACGGCAGGTCGGGCTGCTTTTCTTTTCAAGGAATATTCCATTGTACTGATTGCGTTGTTCAAAGGAAAAAAACATATTCCGTCTCTTAAGATGTTGTTTGGAAGTTGCGAATGTTAAATCGTTGCATTGTAATACATCAATATAATATAAATATATGTATTGATACAATGGATGCATTTTAACAATGGATGCATTTTAACAATACATTGTTTGGTTGTTGAGATTCTACTTTATGCATTGATTTACATAAAATTACTTTTATAGAGAAATGTCACATTTACCCTCAACTTTTTACTAAAAGCCAATTAAATACTCCATAATAGTCCATATTAGAAAATGTGTCATTCAAGAGATAATTATTTTCTGGGGTAAACAATAATTCAGAATAACAAGTGGTCTATGAAAATTCAATTAGTTTCTCAACCAATGAATAACTATATATTAGACTAATTGTTAATTTAATAATTTTCCTTTTCAAAGATGCGTCACATTAACTTTTTTCCGGTAATTACGTCACAAGAAGTTGCTTAAGACATTGATGGTTATTTTTAGAATTATTCGGTTTGTTGTCATTTTCGATAATCACCTGGATTTGTATTTATTAAAGGAACGTTTGTTCCCGAAAAACAGCTCGTTCCAATGGCTACAAGTGAGAGCGTCAAAAACACGATTCATAATTCATAAATTAGCTTCCTTTGCTTTTATCAAACCAGCCTCATTTAGCTTCCTAACCTTCTTGTTGAAATTTCTTGATCGGTTTGATTCGTCCATTATTTAAACACAATCTAAACGTTGGTAGCTAGCTACCAAACTGAACTCTTGAATCTGTCTCTTGAAACTATGGATTAAACCTAACTAATGACGAGAAGGTCAATTTTGTTAATGTTGGGTGGACTTTTTTTATATAATTTACTCAAACAACTTGTTTTTTCACAAGATTTTCTCGATTAATCATATGCAAGTCAATCTATTTGTAGCATATCATCTGTTCTCATAAAATCTCGGCAACCAGCCAATTAAATGTATATGGTTGATTTTGAGTGTAAATATTTGTTCCTGGTTTCCCTATATTCCCAGCCTCGAGAAGCCCTAATTAACTTGCCCAAGAAACACGTGCTTCCCAATGTAAATATGGGGATATGATATCTTTAATATCCCATAGCAATTAGCAAATATCATGAAAATATTGTGTCATAATGACCGCTACGGCCTTCCACACATAAAATCGGGCCCTTTCTACTCAGACATTATTAATTTATTATTAGTACTTTGACATTTTTCCAGTTTCGTGTATTTGATGATAACCAGTACAGCTACGGCTAGCTCGTGCCTGCATGAGCTGCCAAAAGCTAAGAGAAGGACGTAATCGTTACTAATAAGTTGAGTTCCCATTTAATCGCGCTTACTTGACGATGTTCTCTTCTAATTCCAAACTCCATATCAATTTGGCAACGTTACTAATAAGTTGAGTTCCCATTTAATCGCGCTTACTTGACGATGTTCTCTTCTAATTCCAAACTCCATATCAATTTGGCAACTATAAAAGTCCGATTCATGCACGGTTATCTGTTTATCTAATCTTCATAGTATATATTCAATCGTTTATCTGTTTATCTAATTTATGAAATGAATATACTGTTTATCTAATCTGGTTATGTCAAATTATTTCATCAATTAAATAAGATTTACGTGACTCGATTAGTATGGTAATTACGTTCAATGTTGAAGGTCTTATTCTGTTTATCTAATTTTAGTATGGTAATTACGTGACTCGTTGTTTACTAATCTTTATGGTGCAAATAACATAGACAGAGAACAATATTGTCAGGCGCTCTCAACCGCTCAGTACTTAATTACATCTTAATATATTGACTTATGTTGAATCAAAGAACTAAAAACCGTATGTACAAGCAGCAGTAGAATCATCAATTAGAATCAAAGATTTGGAAAGTTGAAGCTACAACGATGTGTTTTCTCTATATCAAATACCTTACAACTCGACTACCTCCTAACACCAAAACACCTAACCTATTCGACCGTTTCAGTTGAACCACTTAACATATTTATACAGTAAACAACGTTCCTCTTCTTGGCAATTTAAAATCACAAGACCATTGACCACACGATTAATTGCATACCAAAACTACATTCTTGTATGCATATTCATGCTATTAGAGATGGATCAATTTTTTCATATAAAAAAGCTGAAAATATCAAACATTGTTCGATTGTCACTGCCGCCTGCACTGCAGTATATCAAGATATGCATCATAGAGGTGAAAAAGAATCCATCGGTGGCGTCAGTTGGAAGAAAATGACTATTCCCACACTGCCAACTGTTAATACTTTCTTTCTATCCGCCTCTCCTTTTGTTGCCATTTCATTCACCAAATACTTTACTTTTGATTTCCGCTTAAATTATGCTAGGCAACTTTAATTTGGATTATTCAATAATAGTAGTAATAAATAATAATGGAGATTTATTTTTCCATACCGAATGAGAAAGTGGAGATAATTTTAGTTTTTGTGTATCTTTGCTCATGGAACTTTTGTCGACATTAGGAGTATACATGATGTGTCTATAGCTCTTTGTAGACATGTTTGCGAAACCATAATCAAATTTATGGAAAATCTTCAACATTGAACGTAATTACCATACTAACAGAGTCAAGTAAATCTTATATTGTGTCTAACTGATTTATATGAATCTCTGACGACCGTGCTAATAAGGCCTTCATCGACTTTTGCTTTGCAGCAGCAGGCAGCAGCCTTACTCTCTCTGTGTGTGTACTATTCTCTCGACTGTGGAATATCCATCCTTCTCTTCTCAATTGTCACTCCTTGCACACTTTTCTCTTAATGGGTTTTTTTGTCCAATATATTATATGAACTGAACTATATATAAAGATAAAGTGAGGTTAGGCTGAACTAATCCCATGCTACTAACTAATCAATTATTAATGTCTGGTAACAGTACTTTACAGCAGGCATGGGGCAGGGGGTAACGTGAATGTAGATTTATATACAAAATTACAAACAAATAACCTTTTAATCTTTTGTAATAATATATAATAAGATTTAATTAATTAATATACAAGTAATTGGAAGTGGGAATCTATTTCCCAAGAGAATGGAATCTCCTCAAAATCACATTAACATTTCACCTCCCCCAGCTATGGGAAAATGAAGGGTAGTACAAAAAGGGACCACACTATCATCATAATTAATTAGAAATCAAGTTCTAATCTTCTCTACCTAATCTAATACCCATTTGGATCTGTGTTCACCTCGTCACTGAGCCAAGGATATATTTATTTAATGGAGGGACAGGATTATGTAATTGTAAAATGAGGGAATCATTTTGATTAATTACACAAAAAGGAAAAAGTAGGAATAAATTGAAATGAATAAATATGGGGAATGAGATGAGGGAGATGACTTTTGTTGGTTCATTCACTCAAATGCATATGATCCAATAATTGCCTCTAATACTCTATACTCCCTTTATATTATTAGGTGCAATAAATTGAAATAAAAAAGAATAAAATCTATGGGATAAGATACGATTATTATAAGACAAAAGGCAGGGTAATTTATATATACTTAGCTTAGGCAGTCAGGTCTGTGCAAGTGAGGCAGAAGGGATGCTTAATTAAATGGTGCTTAATTAATTGATTCCTACTTTTAATTTACAGACTATTACCAGAGTGGGGAAATGATCACATGACTCTGGAGAAAGAGAGGGGAGATTCCATGTGATTATGAAAGGGTGATTATCATTTTACATGTGATGGCTTGTGCAATCCAGCCTAATTAATCTTTTTTTGGTTTCCAAGATATATAGACCACCCCCAAAACAGATAACAAGGAAAGAGGAGCCATGCCATGGCTGCTCTAGGGTCCACCATCGTTTACAAGTTACATAGATTGAATGATTTACGTTATTTACAAAATTGTACGTCATCGTGTTAACTGAACAGTTTAGATTGTTCATGTTCAATTAATTGATATTCAATTAACTTGTACTTATATATGTGTTATTTGTTGGGATTGGGTACGACCCAGATCTGGTTGTTTCACACACATATGTGTCTAAATTACACACACTTAATGAGCCTTGTCTCGTTCTTGACCTCTTCGATCTCAACTCAACCTAATTTTTCACTCACATGCATGCTATTTGGACTAATATTCAAGTTTGGTATAGCTAGATTTAGTACTGCAAACCTCCAATCTCTCAAATAATTTGTGTTCATTAAATATGTGATTCTTCTTCTTTTTCTTCCTCCGTCTCTTTCACAATATCATATGAAAATCAAG